ACAGTTTTATCTCGGTGTGTTTATCTACGTTGACTCAACCTTAATAAACTGATGTTACCCTTTGATATAACGCCCACTGGGCTGGGTACATCAACACAGCGGCTCGTCCGTGTGTTATTTAAGTCATTCACCAACAACCACAACACTTATTATAACCACATGACAACCGCATTGCCAATCATTTACCCTCAGATTAAGATGATGCCATATATTATATTTAATATCGTTTTTATACAAATTCGGCTCATATAAAATCATTATATTTTGGCTAGCTTCCAAACGTTATTATACTGGATTATAATAAAAACAAATGAAGTGTTATTATCCACGTTAATTGTGGTTGACAATTTATATGATTGGGGCGTGGATTATCTAATTACTCAATGCTTGAGTGACAGCTTAGGGAGGGCTTAAAGTTCCAGTTGGGGGGCAGTTAGTTGCCTCTCGAATCCTTCCCTATTGAGGCTGTTCATATCATGATTGGGAGAGCTGCCGTCTCCCGCCCCGAGGATTGATGATTCGAGGCTCCTAAGGCTCAAATGAATGAAATGTAATTGCCGAAGTTAACTGTGGTTGCATTTCAGTAATTACCTTCCCTGGCAAAAGATGTGTGAAAATATAAAGAATTTTCCATCATTAAAATCTATGATACAACACACATTAATGATAACATTGGCCAGTGGGAAGAAACAGGAGAGAGCCAGCACAAGGGGACAGGTGGAAACTTAGTACCCAGATGAGCCACAGAGACGTTAGAAAGAATTTTTTTCAGTGTCAGAGTAGTTAATAAATCGAATGTTTTAGGCAGTGATGTGGTGGAGGCTGACTCCATACACAGTTTCAAACGTAGATATGATAGAGCCCAGTAGGCTCAGGAATCTGTACACCAGTTGATTGACAGTTGAGAGGTGGGACCAAAGAGCCAAAGCTCAATCCCCGCAAGCACAATAAGTACCACCTCAAGGATGACAACATCAAAGAACTGGCGACAAGTCAGTAAACGACCTATGAATCCAGCTGATAATTCTCGCACACACAACGACAACACGAGCCACTTTGTTGGCAATATAAAACATACCAAACCTACATCCTACAGGTAAGGGAATGGGAAGGGTGGTAGAGCTGTTTACTGGAGATAAGGGTTACATTACACAGCAAATCTTCGATATAGGCCAAGTACATTGTCAAGTGTTCTAGAACTAAGATAGTAGGTTATTAATACATCCCGGCATGCCTTACTCTAGGGCTGAAAAATCACACAATATGAGGCATTCTTCAATGCAGTGTTTAAGGCTCAGTGTTGCATTCAGCAGCGCTAGTTTACTGTGCAGCCCATACTCATCCTGTGAGTGGTAGTTTACTGTGCAGCCCATACTCATCCTGTGAGTGGTAGTTTACTGTGCAGCCCATACTCATCCTGTGAGTGGTAGTTTACTGTGCAGCCCATACTCATCCTGTGAGTGCTAGTTTACTGTGCAGCCCATACTCATCCTGTGAGTGCTAGTTTACTGTGCAGCCCATACTCATCCTGTGAGTGCTAGTTTACTGTGCAGACCATACTCATCCTGTGAGTGCTAGTTTACTGTGCAGCCCATACTCATCCTGTGAGTGCTAGTTTACTGTGCAGCCCATACTCATCCTGTGAGTGCTAGTTTACTGTGCAGCCCATACTCATCCTGTGAGTGGTAGTTCACTGAGCACCTCATTACCCATCTTTACAGAGGGCACAAGAGGTTTAATTAGCCCTCAGTGGGTGTTGGTTGATGTATTTCTGTTCATATGTACACAATTAATTTCATAATAATGAGATTGGTGTGATAACAGAACAGCAACTGCTATGTGCAACAACGCTACATTACGAAATGCAAATCAAGTCATTTAGGCAACAATTAACATAATTATCAACACTGGATATTGTAGATATTATAAGTGAACAGGAGTATTGCATTTTACATAGACCCGAATTCCCTCTGATGTTAGGCTACAAAGTTAATTCTTCACGTAAATTTTCATATATTTCTTACAAACGAAACGTGGATATACATTGCGTATTTCAGGTATTGTATCATTAACAATCTAATCACACTAAAGTGATGCATCAAACCATGTTATGGCCTGGTTGTCTGGGGGTGCGCGTGTGGGAATACCCAGTGCACAAGTTCGAATCCTTATCACGGCTCCTATGGATTTTCTCATTAACAATGAAGTTATGTGCCATTTTTAGCTCTCTAGTGCTGACCTGCCAACACGCGAGACGACGGAAGCATACTTAACATTCTGATGGAGTTGGCCAACTTACTAAAGCCAAAATGTGTATTCAGATTTTTCTCTCATACATGTATAAGTCAAACATAAAGGGCTCTGTTTTAACTCTGCTCTCATCATACTAGACATTCTCAAGGGCTCTGCGCCACCCAAGATAACCTATATAGCTTAACTCGACAGGTTTTCAAGAGACTTCACCTCTAATAATCAGTCGTAGAACTGTTTTTTTTCTTTTTTACACAGGTGGGTACAGGAGCAGACGTCTGGTGACGTGTTAGCAGGCTAAGGGTTTCCTCCTCCCATAGCTCATGGTAAGGCCTTACACAACAAGTTTTCCCTGGAATAAACCCGCCAATCGTTTAACAACCAGGTATACCCAATTACTGCAGGATGAACTGGGGGCGAACAATTAAGGGGTAGCACCCAGTCAATCCTCCCTGGCCAGGACTCGAACCCAGATCAAATCGGTGGCGAGGCGCGGAAATAGCGTGTTAATAATGTTGTTTTAGATTCAGCAACTCAGAACAAAAGTTCCAAGTAGCACGGGCTATAGTGAGCCCGTAGTGTTAATAATGGTTCTTGTTGTTGTAAAATATACAACGAGAGGTCAGCGTGGCTCAGTACCATCAAGACGCACCTGTTTCAGCATGCAGGTGAGTACGGATGCCAGCGTGCAGGTGAAAGTGAAAGTGGGTGGTGGTTAAGCTCTCCAAGGTCACACTCCCACGCTTCCAAAATTACTCACTACCACAACACCAAAAAACAAAAGAATGATTATAGCACTTTAAATACCATGATTATCCCTACAAATATACGCCATCTTTCAAACAAAACTAACCAACGTATCGGCCATGAACGAGAAAACCAATCCACGTGCATCACAGAGTAAATAGAAGAAAAACAATCACTGGTAACTCACGGCCATGACGTCATGCGGCCAGTGACGTCACGGTCTGTTGTGGCGGTGAGGGTCCAGCCTCTCGAACGTTCCCGACATCACTAAACTGATGAACTAAATAAATTACCCGAACCTAACCTAACCGAGAGTCCACAGATAGAAAACGGTGCATCACATCAATTTTGCGAGCCGTTGTGGTTTTTAGTACGTCAGTTTTTGCCCTTAGCGGATTTATGTCAAAATGAGAGGCATTTTGGTAAAATATGAACCTCCTATTTTGCCCGTATGCCCCCCTCATTTTGCCAAAATGAGGGGCAATAAGTCAAAATGATGGGCAGATCTTGTACGACGCGAGAGAGGACGGGTTGACAGCAATCGTAACTGATAAGCGATGTGTAGAAGTGATGTACGATGATAATGATGGCTGCTAAACGTGGTATTATTGCTGCGATGGATGGCCTTCGTGTCAGTTTTAGGTCAGTTCATTTATTATACAACCCAGTCATGCCCCTCTTGTGAGTGGTAAGGGACCCCCATGCCTCTCTTGTGAGTGGTAAGGGACCCCCATGCCTCTCTTGAGGTCCACTGAGTGGAGAGAGTGGTATTTGAACCCATGTCCCTCTTGCGAGTGGCAGAGGACCCCATGCCCTTCTTGTGAGTGGCATTGGAAGCAACAATTGGACAGGTTCCGGAAAAGAAGGGAACAATCAAGAGAAAGCGCCAAGCCATTATGACTAGATAGCACTTGGAAGGGGTCAGGATAAGGATTTGGGATGGGACGGGGAAGAAGGTTCCGTAGACAAGCCAGAAGTAACAGGTGGACAGTGGCGGAGTAGAGCAAGAAGCAACAGGTGCGCTGGTAGGATAAGGATCAACTCAAGTGTGAAAAACAAGAAACTTGCAAGTTACCTTGTATAGGAGTGATGGGCCAGTGTGTTTTCTACGTGTTTATGAATACATATCTTTTAATTATCTATGTGTTTTACTTATCTAACCGATTGTATTAAAAAATAACACAATTAAGCTGATAATAATATGCCAAGCATAGCAATTTTGTAACATTGAATTACGTATTGCAAACCAGCCACTTACAGAGACGCCTGTGTTGTTAAGACCAGATTGACCTGTAGCCTACTGTGGGGCTGAGCCACTACTCTGTCATCAACAGACTACACCACTACGTTATCACCTGCTACACTACCCTCAACCTCTAATTAAACGAAAGTAGTTTAATACAACCAATTTTTTGACACCAACATCATTAAATTACACAAAACTGATATCTTATCACAGATGTTCAACATATGTTACACAAAATCAGATGCGTACTAGTGGCTTTACAAGATTGTAAATACTATGCTATGTATTCTAACAAACCCAATGTACCTTCTTGTATATAAATAAATAAATGTGTTCACGATACTAAATGTTCATTGATACGTTCACAGTACTGAGTATCCACTGACACAGCAATATGCTGCTACCCTATTCTATCTGAAAGATTACACTGTAGATCAAAAACTAGCTCTAAGTTCATCTAATATTCCCCTCTCACACGATGGCTAGCCATAAGGTTAGTCTATGGTTAAAGTTAAAGTTATGGTAAGTCATTTACAGGGGAGAAAATACCAGCCTCAACACAAAAACAAATCATGTTTACAACACAGAAAGTTGTAAACAAAACTCTCAGGCAAACTCCTCAATGGAAGGGCGTATGCTACTCCCTCTCTCTCCCTCTCCGCCTGTCAATAGCGCGTACTAGGCGGGTGTTGTATAGGAATCTAATGTACTATTATTGTACTAGCAGCAATGTACTATCAGAGTGGTGTATACGCACCAGTAGAGGGACCAGGGCCCGGTGATAAGGGAGTGGGTGAGAGATACACCAGTGTTCTTCCACTTCCAGGTCTGCACCCCCGTGGTACGCGCACTCCGGGGTACCAATAAGCGCAACACTTGGTTCCACACGCAGGTCCACACAAAGCCTCCCAGTACCCATTTGGGCCCTGATACGACATCTTCCGTCATGTTACAATTGTTATCTTTTAGTTTCCAGTGAGGCTCAGGGATACGATGTAGGGTTTCGCGATATTAACTGACGTGGAGCGAGAGCGCGCGAGTAGCGTCCTCCCGCGCTGACTCCACATTCACAACTAATTTTGGCTACATAATAGGGTTGCCAGATCTCAATTGCTCAAAGTAGCGAGCTGACGCTCTAAAAGTAGCGAATTTGTCATAAGAGTAGCCCAATTTTTTGTAGTGAATGATATGGGTTTCAAAGTAATATATTTTGATATATAGAGTACACTACACGATGTTAATTGTTTTATTAATATTATTTCTACACACACACATTATATATATATATATATATATATATATATATATATATATATATATATATATATATATATATATATATATATATATATATATATATATATATATATATGTCGTACCTAGTAGCCAGAACGTACTTCTCAGCCTACTATGCAAGGCCCGATTTGCCTAATAAGTCAAGTTTTCCTGAATTAATGTATTTTCTCTAATTTTTTTCTTATGAAATGATAAAGCTACCCATTTCATTATGTATGAGGTATTATGTATATATATATATATATATATATATATATATATATATATATATATATATATATATATATATATATATATATATATATATATATATAACAGTTGATCTCAGTTAAATGCATGTAATTAAAAAATTGCAACAGTTGCCAAAATCACATAATACGAAATGTAAACCCAGGTAAGAGGGGGTTGCTAGGGTTATATATATATATATATATATATATATATATATATATATATATATATATATATATATATTCAACCAGTGAGTGGTAGTTTGTCGTGCACCCCGAACCCCGACCAGTTGTATAAGCGGACCCCGCGACCAGTTGTGTAAGCAGACCCCGACCAGTTGTGTAAGCGGACCCCGACCAGTTGTGTAACTGCAAGCTTAGCATGAACGAACCTAGCAACCCCCTCTTACCTGGGTTTACATTTCGTATTATGTGATTTTGGCAACTGTTGCAATTTTTTAATTAATGCATTTAACTGAGATCAAGACAAATATATATTTCCAAATTAAATGTAAATTTCTTTAGTTTAAAAGAATGTAAATCTATATAAAATTTAAAAGAATATATATATACGAACCCTTTCCTATATACATATGCGCTGGCTTGTGTTCGCTGCTGGTTCAAGTTCAGTTTAAGTTCTTGAACTTGAACTTGGCAGCACCCAGTCTTTAATTTGGCACCTTTGTGGGACCTTGGTATAAGCCTAACATCTATATATACACTGGCTGCCTGTCCCCATACACAATGATTTATTATTACCTAATATTTTATCATTTAATTTAAATATTAAATAAAATAATTTATTTAATTATTATAGTAAGTAATTAATAATTTAATAATAAGTAGTAAGTACATAAAAATGATTAAAAAGTACAGTTTAGTCATAGGAGATTCCTAGATTGGAATTCACTACCAAATTTCGATATATCCAAGTATTTTTAGTGTGAAATGCTGTTATTATATGCATAAATTGTTGTTTTAATAATATTACGCTTAACCACTTGGGCTGGACGGTAGAGCGACGGTCTCGTTTCCTACAGGTCCGCGTTCAATCCCCGGCCGCCCATGAGGTTGGGCACCATTCCTTTCCCCCGTTCCATCCCAAATCCGTATCCTGATCCCTTCCGAGTGCTATATAGGCTTGGCGCTTTCACTTGATAGTTCCCCCACCCCCCTGAATAATATTACGAGAGCAATATTTACGGGCTATTCATGCCCGTGCCACCTCTTGGGTGGCTTAATCTTCATCAATCGAGAGCAGTACGTCCTAACCAGACGTTATATGATGATATCCTGAACAGTTGATAAATAAAAGTAATTACGGAACTCCAGTTATCTAATACTTATCATAAATGGTATAAAACCTTATCAAAAGCCAAAGGATTTGTAGATCAGTGTTTAAAGGGAATTCGGAAGTAATAATAATACAGCTGATGCCATCTGTCGGCAGAAGAGAACACTATTAACTGGCTGGTCAATAGTGGCCATAAGGTACAGCTTACGCCATCTGTTGACATCAAATTACACTTATAACAAATTACCCTACAAAAAACAACTAGCGCCTTACTGGATGCTTTAAAAAGTGGCAGCTCCACTGCTCCGGGAAAAGATGGAGTAACGTATGACATACTTAATTATTTAGCCGGTATGAAACCTAATCCCTTACTTGATTTGTTTAATATGAGTTATAGAGAGGGAAAGTTACCAAGAAAATGGAAAGAGGCTGTCATCATTCCTATCCCTAAGTCAAACGGAGGCTACAGACCTGTCTCCTTAATATCCTGCTTTTGTAAAATGATGGAAAGGATTTTGTTAAATAGGCTACTCTACCTTGTAGGTGATAACATGTCCAGTAATCTCTTTGGTTTTATCAAAGGCAAAAGTACTGCGGATTGTCTCTTAAAGTGCTTGTCTAATGTGGATGACAATTGTAGAGTTTTTGTTGATCTACAAGGAGCGTTTGATAAAGCCAATGGGGAAGTAATCTTATACGAATTAGCCAATCTGGGAATAACAGGGAGATTGCTACACTGGATAAGGGATTACCTGCAAGGCAGAAAAGGTCAGGTGTATTACCAGGGATACATGTCTGAGGAACGGAGGTTTCAGTTAGGTACCCCACAAGGGGGAGTATTAAGTCCCACCTTATTCAATGTATTAATGAACAGATTAGCATCAGAGATGTATCCTCCAGGGGTCACGCGCCATCTCTTTTTTTTCCAACGCACTATAAATAGCCAAACAGCAACCCATAAGGCGGGTTGTTGTGTTCGGGTAGGAGGTTCCAAGCTCCGCCCACAGATGGTATAGGGTGCATAATGTTGACATTCACACAACAGCCAATCACAGGAAGGGATCAGCTAAAGGCTCCATCCACTTAATAAATCATCTTTATTCAGCACACCATCCTTGCTTATGACATTTTGCTTCAACTTTAATCTACCTAAAAGTGAAATGTTAATTATTTAAAAGTATTAATATAGTGATAATTAAAAATACTGCAGGATGTAACGAGTGTTACAGAAACATGGGCTGGCTACCTGACTTGTGACGTCATCAGTGGGAGTTGCCTCACACAAATAATATCGGCGATACAATGCCTGATCCGCCCTCATATTGGTCTACATTATTCAGTTAGATGGAAATTTCTGTCTTGTATAAAACAGAAATTGTTGTTCTTTTGTACAACAACACCAAGGTTGTTGAGCAAAAGGGCGTATTTCTTATTTTGCATTTTATTCATATAAGCGTTGGCATTCCCCGCGACAGCCAATCACAGGAAGGGATCAGCTAAAGGCTCCATCCACTTAATAAATCATATTTATTCAGCACACCATCCTTGCTTATGACATTCTGCTTCAACTTTAATCTACCTAAAAAGTCAAATGTTAAGTGTTTAAAAGTATTAATATAGTGATAATTAAATAATGCAGGATGTAACGGGTGTTACAGAAACATGGGCTGGCTACCTAACTTGGGACGTTATTATTGGGGGTTGCCTTGACACAAATAATGATACACGGCTCTGCCCTCTTATTCGAGTAAATTATTCAGTTAGATGGAGATTTTTGTCAGGTGTAAAACAAAAATTGTTGTTCTTTTTCACAAGAACCTTGTTGTTGTGCACAAGGACCTATTCCTTAGTTTAAATTTTATTCATAAAAGAGTGTTGGTATTCCCCGCAACAGCCAATCACAGGAAGGTATTTCTGGAAGCTCCGCCTCCTTATGGACTCAGCACATCGCTCTAGCTCATGGCTCGCTGCTTCATCTCTTGTATATACAAACTATGACTTTTTTTCGATTACTGTTATAAATAATAGTATGAGATATAAAAGTTTTTACACAAAATGGCTAAATTCTGCCATTAAATAGATTTTGTCTGGTGTACATACAAACATACACCAATTTATTACCATTCATCCATTATTAATTTCATATATAATGTATGCCCGAAACGCTTTGCGTAATAGTGGCTTTAGGCATTGTATGTACTAGCTATACCTATAAGTTAAACAATCCTTGTAAATATTTATTGTATGTATGTACCTTACCTAAATAAAATTGTATTGTAATTGTTGTACTGTCTAGTTTTTTCCTTTCGCCATTACTTGGTGCAATACTTGAAAGTTGTCTATTTATTTATCGATCTATTATCTTGTATTTATATTTACAGGTTTCTGTGCTTGGAAGAAAACTCTGCATTGAATTGGGACTACTTTATTAAATAATATTATTTAGTATTAATTAATATATACAATTATTATTAATTACAATTATTTATAGCTTAGTTACTTTCATGTAACTCGCAATCGTACAGTCTTAACATTAATAGCCCAAATTAACACATCTTGCTTTTAATTAGCCCAAAAAGTAGCAAATAGCGAAATTAAAAATATGGGAGCGCGGGGGCTCTCAAAAGTAGCCCAATTCGCTACTTGTAGCCCAATCTGGCACCACTGTGCATAATAGGAGCTTGAGGCGCGAGCTTCCTCAGGCGGGAAAAAGTCGGTCATGTCATGTTTTAGTGGATTTTAACATCAATGAATGAGATTGTTTTGCGAATATTAAAATTACGTTCTGTAACCTCAAACAGAGGCATCGGGTTGCCTCAAACAAATAATATCGATGATAAAAAGCTTCGCCCTCTTAGTGGACTAAATTATTGAGTTAGTTTGCATTTAATTCAGAGACATTTTGATATTACCTGCAACAGCTAATCACGGTACAAAATGGCTAAATTCTGCCATTAAATAGATTCTCTTGTCTGGTATACACAGAAAAGGTACATTTTATTAGTATGCACCCATTATTAATTATAATTATTTAATATATTTATTTATGTACTTATTTATTGATACAAGAAGGTACAATAGGTTTGTGAGAGTACATAACATTGGTGCTCTTACACTCTACACTGTATACACTGTAGCAATTTTAGGTTTAATATAATAACTACATATAAATTGATGAAAATTATTACACTGGTGAAGTTGCATGTCTTAATTACTAATATTGGGGAAATGGGTAGTACAAGATAAAGTGTGAGTTTGAAGCACAAGGTAGGAAACTATGAGGATGATATTAGGTACTTTTTGGTTTTACTTTGAATAAGGTATAAGTTGGAATTTTTTTAATTAATTAGGGAGTGAGTTCCATAGACTGGGTCCTTTTGTTTGCATAGAGTGTTTGCACAGATTTAGTTTGAGTCAGGGGATATCAAGGCGATATTTATATCTGGGGACACTGTTTCAACTTTAATATGGGTACTATTATACCTATTAATGAAACGTTTGAGTTCAATATTAGAAATTAAGAACAGTTTCCACAGTTTTGTACAGATAAATAGCACAATAGAATGGCTGGAGTGAGTGTATGTTTAGCATGTTAAGAGATTTAAACAGAGAATTACATCAATAAAGCCAACAGAATAAACAGAGAATTACAGAAAGAAATAAACAGAAAGAATAAACAGAGAATTACATCTATAAAGCCAACAAACTTTGTAAAATCTCTTTATGTATGTACCTTACCTAAATAAAAATTATTATTATTTTTATTATTATAGAAGCTGTGTGTTGTCTAAAGACAGAATTCCATCTCATTTCCCGGGGTCGGGAAAGGATATGGAATATCCCTATCCTCTTGATATTCAGGTAAATTCTGGTAAATATGAAATGAATATTTAAATAACGCGCGGCAGTTAATGACATAAACATTTATAGCAAAGCTCCTTTGCCAGAGTTTTGTTAACTGGTTTGTGATAGGTTGATGAGGGATGATACGCCCCTCTCTACTGGCCACACTCGTCTCTGTCTGATGGCCTCTGTATAAGACCTTTAAAGTGGGCGGAACATGTCGGTGGTTTGGTGAGAATTATACATTGTACTGATATTCTCTAGTCGTACCTAATATGCCTGTCATAGTCATTTATAAAACGCTGTAAGGTGCAAATGATTGACTGCTTAGGAATGAGACAGTAATGATCAGTTGTACAGTGTGCAATTAAATCCCAATCCCTGTTTGGGATGAAAAATTGCAATCCATGTTGGGTTATTTGTTGACCTATGTAAGGCTTTTGACACTGTCAACCACCAAAACCTTCTTCTTAAATTACATCATTATGGAGTCAGAGGTCACTCCCAGCAATATCTTCAGTCTTGCCTTACTGACAGGCTCCAGTATGTTTCTGTGAATAATTCAAGTTCTCCCACCCTACCCATGAACATTGGTGTTCCTCAGGGCAGCATACTTGGCCCTCTCCTCTTTCTCATCTACATTAATAATGACCTTCCAAATGCAACACCTCAAACCAATTATATTTGCTAACGACACAGTTTTAGTTTAGTTTCATTTTCTCCAGTCCTGACCCTCTTGTTCTAAATGTCACAGTGAACACTGAACTAAATAAAGGCCATCTTTGGCTAACTGCCAATAAACTCACCTTTAACATTGACAAAACTTTCTATATCATGCTTGGCAATAAATCCTCAAATCAAATTAATCTAAGAATAAACAATATCCAAATTAGTAACAAAGTACATTAGATGGAAAATTCCTTGGTATCCTCATCGATAACAAGCTGAATTTCCAGGGACACATTCAAAATATATCAAGAAAAGTTTCTAAAACTGTTGGCGTTCTTTCTAAGATCAGATATTATGTACCTCGCCCTGCCCTGCAGACGCTCTATTATTCTCATCTATCCTTATCTAAATTATGGTATTTGTGCTTGGGGTTCTACACACAAATCATTTACATCCTCTAATTATTCAACACAAAGCTGCTATTAGAACAATATCTAACTCTGGCCCCAGACATCACTCGGTACCCTTACTCAAGTCTTTGAATATACAGTATTAGATATTAAGTCACTGAACATCCTCTCATGCATACTCTATATATTTAAAACTGAACTGCAATGTCATTCCTGACCTTAGAAGCTTCCTAGAAGGTTGTAATAGAACTCCTGGGCATCACACCAGAAACAAATACCTATTTGATATGCCAAGAGTGCAACTTAACCAAACTAGAAATGCTCTACAAATCAAGGGACCCAGAATGTGGAATGGTCTCCCCCATCATGTCAAAGGCTGTACCTCTCTCAACCAGTTTAAGAATAAAACCAAGTGCTACTTAATTAACTCCATGTAACTTCCCTTACCCCCTAAATGCCAACCCCATGGCTTGCTTTTGTTAAACAATGCTGTTTGTTCTCCAACTTGTAATTTGGCATCCACTTTACCAGGAATTATCAGATCTTGACCAGCTTCATTTTAATTCGGTGAATTGAAAGACAGGGCTCAACACAGTCCTTATTTCTTGTCACCTTTAAATCCCATAAATACAAATTAACCATTAGTAACCTTACCTATTGTTCAATAGTTTGGTATATTTACTTCAGAAGTTCACGTAATTATCCTATTCTCTTGGTATCTTTTAGTAAGACTTTGGGCTAAAGGTAAAGCTTTCGAGTCAGGCTTAAAAATTAGGACTTCATTCCCAGTTGAGCTATACTTTTTTAGTATTATTAATGCAGTGTTTTATATTTTACAGGAAAATAGCTGTTCGACAATGGGGCTTGGAAAAGAATCCATTGGTACCAAAGCCAACCTCAAGTCATCCGCTGCAAGGGGCAAGTTTAAGACAAAAATTTTAATGCAGAACCCATCTCAGTTATATTGAGACTTGAGTCATTATTTTACAGTTCTATGTCATTTTTTTACAGCACAACACATTTACTGGGTTTGTTTTAAAAATGTTATTAGGTGCAGTTTAATACAGGTTTTATGTTACTTTATCACTCTACAAATTAAATTAGTCACTTAATAGGTGACAACTTTCTATACTATTGTAAAAGGATGGTTTATTTTTCTAAATAATTAGTTGAAAGTCTGTTCAAGAAGCAGACAGTAAGTCACAATAATTTGGCCAAAAAATAAACACCCAACCATAGAGCTGAAAATAAAAGAATTGATAATGTTTTGGTCTGTCCTGGACCATTATCAAGTCGTATAATGAAAAATAGTATGTACAGACAAAATGACTAACTGAACCTTATATTTACAGGTGAAGGACCGAACTCTGAAACATGCAGGGCAAGTATATGACAAGAAAAGCAGGCCTGCTGTGCAACCGGTAAGTTCAATTGTCTTTATTTGCTCTGTATAATCAGTCCTGATTTTCTGGACTAATTAGTATCTCTGGGTGTCTGGAATACATATTAGTAAAAAAAGTATTATCTTTTATAATATTTTCACGAAGTTTCACTAAGAATCTACAAAAATACATTTAGTTCTCAGATTATTTCTTGTACTATTTATACAGTATGTAAAATACAACAGATTATGGTTGACCCACTGTCATCAGTTCTGGATGGTCCCGATCCCCTGAGTGATCTTCTTAGTGCTTCAGATCCGTTATCTGGCAAGGCCTTTCCAACTGCTTCATTTCAGGTAAATGACGAATTGGATCTCTCTTGTATTAGAGTTTACTCGACTGTTTCTTTATTACACAGGCTAAATGTAAGTGGGTATAAAAGTTTTGTTCATAAATTAAGTATTTCTGTTTGTATTTGGAAAGAAATAAACTATACCAACTGAAAATTAATAAAAAAGTACAGTATTTTTTATTTAGAGACATGAATTTATTGTTTTATTTTGTTGCTGCATCTCTTCAGCAGTTTATTGTAATATATAACGATCTTAAGAGAAACTTATCCAGCTTACATGAAATAAAATCCTAAAACACCGTTGAGGACCATTGGGGAAATATTCCTGTTCAGTATACCAAGATGTGCATGTGAATGAACAACTGCAGTTGTTACCATTATCATTCATGGGGTGGGGAGAGAGAAGCCTACAACAGAGCCGGGGAACTGTTGTGGGTTGCATCCCCGGGAAGGTCAGCAGTTATCATAGAAGGACCTTGATTTACCTACCCCGCCTTCTTGTTATGTAGACCATATAGTGAACCATACCTAAAGCAAAAGGTGAATCATCAGATTACTAATCTAATTACTTTACCCCTCTATTGTCAACCCATGTCTGTTATTTTTTTTAATGAACACTGTTTGTCAACCTATTGTATTTGTGCTGCTTTTCAGTCATGTTCCCCCTTTTTTTTTTATCTTTATTTGTATTTGTTCTCAACACATTTTATTCTTTATGCTCAATTAGTATTAAGTTCTAGATATTAATGTTCTTCCTGCCCGAAACGCATTGCGTAATAGTGGCTTTAGGCATTGTATGTACTAGCTCTATCTATATATTGATCCATTAATGTAACATCACTTGTATGTATGTACCTTACCTGAATAAACATATTTATATTTATTTTATTTATTAATAATGTTGATCAAAGAAATAAAACAAATATATGCAACAATACTGGATAGGCAATCCATTGCTATAGTACCTCAGTACAGTATAGCTAAGACTCACTCCACCTTCATCTCCCTTGTAACCTCCATTCATATATATTTATTTATTAAAGAACTAGTGGTCATTATACACCCTGCCATACACTTTACATTAATATCACACAACCCAGGAAGTTAGTCAGTGTTATGGGGTTGTATCCTGTGGATGGTCAGTAGCTCAACCTTAAGGAGACCTTAATATAAGCCTAATGTATATATATATATATACACACAGGTTTCCTGTCCCTGACAAAAGAAATTAAATTAATTGCTCCAATAATAATATTTATTCCATTCATTATTCTTTCTTCCTTTCTGTTTTATCTCACATAAAGCCAGCACCTTAAAGTTTTGCCACTTCCAGCTTCTGTTGTTCCTCATTTCTTCTTCTAACATTCCACACAGCCATATGGTCCGAGGCCTATGCAGGTCCTCACTCCAAATCTGAGGCCAATTTTGAACCATTTATAGAGGTACAACTGCAGCAAGTAATTAATTTGTTTTTAGATATTGGAGGAGAATAGAGAGACAGAGATGACCATCGTGGACAGTCGACATAGTACCTGGGAACAACACCGGACATTCATACTTACAAATTTTACCACAACTGGGACCCTCACCTTCACTTCAAGTTTCCTGCAGCCGTCAGACTCGGGTGAGGTTTTAACTCGGCTGTACAGTGAGAATGCCATAAGTGAATGTGATCTGTTTAATTGTTAGCTATTAGAAAGGAAAAATATATTATTAGCATACAAAACAATTTTTCTGTGAGGCGCCCCATCGGCTCCCTGAAGTTATCCGAACTGATATGTGCTATATTGGTTTGAGGCCATCAGTCACAGGAGTCATTATGTCTACCGGGAACCACAAGCCAGAACCTGGCTCCCTCAGAGAGGCGCAGGGAGCAATGGCCTATGCACACTTTACATTTAAACTATGTCATGTTGTAATTGCCATCTACTGGGAAAATCTGAAAAATTGATGAAAATTGCGACTTACGTCCGAACATGGCAAAAGAACTCCCCCTTAGAAAAAAAACAAGCAACGCTTCATCCAACTAGCACCCCCACTCGTTAGTCCTACCCCCCCCCCCCCCCACACAAAGGTGGGGTTGGGAGATGGAGCCAGCTCACCATTCTAGTTCTTGAACTAATGTGCTGGAGTCAGCTCGGTCACCTCTGGCCTCAAGTTCTTGTTCTGGATTTTGCCCCATGTGGCTGTACCAGCAGTGTGTGTGGTGTGGTGTCCAGGTGTCTTATTGTATGCAGAGCAGCATGCACCTAGGGTAATCTTCCATAGGTGCTCTGCAAGTTTTACCCTTGCATTTCAGGGTTATCTTCCCTGGGGCATTCAGGACTCACTCCTGTTTGAGGACTTCATCACTTGACGTTGTCGTCACCCTTGGGGTACGTTGGGGTCTTGGGCTTTCCGTCTTGCCCCAGGTGGGGAGTATTATTGGCTATGCAGGGCGTACTGAGGCCAGCATAGCTTACACATGCAGCAGCCTACGATTCTCCCCGGCTGCCAGTTTCTTGTGTGTCTTCGGGAGTTTTGTTTTTCTTTCCTAGCATTTTTGCTTTTTGTTAACGGAGGAGGTTTGCCTAGCTTCTTATTAGGAAAGCCTAGGTTGTGATGGGGGTCCTCCTCTGTTGCCCTCAAGGTTACATGGCTGCTATTGGTGGGGGTTTTCCTGCTGACTGAAAAGGTTCTACTGGCTTGGCAAGCCCCAGTGCCTGGGCTTCCCATAGGACTTCCTCACTTTACGGGCCCTGGAAAACCCAAGTGGGCTCGGGGGCTTCATGGATGTGTCTTACAAGTCTTCTCTTGCCTTGTGCGAAGTTAAAGGTTGTTCGTCGTCCCTGCCTCAGGGAGATGATCCTGAGGCAGGATCCTTCCTCCGTCATGCTGCCTGTTGGGTCAGTGACACCTATGACCTGGAGTCTTACCGGACTTGTTCCCCGCTTGTGTTTCAATTTACCCATTCCTTGTCTTATCATCTCAGGGATCAGATGGTGGCTGCATTGCATGCTCGATCCTCCTTATTGCAACGGGCCAGGTTGATTGCCCGGTTGGAGGCCCTGGAGCTGCCCCACTTGGGTTTTGGGACCAGGATTTGGGGGAGTTGGTTCCTTTGGCCTTGATTCCTGTTCACGCCCTGCTTCCTTCCCAAGTGGGTGTGGTTTTTCCCTGCCCCTCCCTCCCTAACTTCTGGCTCCTGGCTCCCAAACGTCTAAGGGTTTGGGGGTCAGGAGAGAGGGTTTAATTTGGGATGAGGCTCAGGTGGCTTTAACTTCGGGGGTTGATTCGGCCACGGTTGTGGTTGGCCCGATTTTCCCACCAGGGCATCTGAGTCAACCCAACAGACTCACCTCATGGAATCTTTACCCTTTACTCGACCTTTTCTTCAGGGGTGGTAGGCGTGGATGAGGGCTCTGCCTTGGGGGCTCGTCAGGCTCATAGCACAGTGTGGGAGTTTGCTCTCCTCCGACAAAGGTGAGCATGAAAACGACCACCTGTTCGTTTGGTCGAGGTGGTCATTTTGTTTGCTTGCAGCTTTCTCCTTTTTTTCTGGCAAAGAATGAGACAGTGGGCTTCCGGAGGGGTCCGTTGTTTGTGGATGCTTCGTTGGTTAGGCCAGGGATTTATCACATTTTGTGTCTGGTGGTGGCTTTACGCTGGTACCTGCGGGCCACTGGTTCTATGACGGTGGACGCTCTTTGGGTGGATCCGGTTTCTCTGGTTCCCTGTTCCAGGGCTCGTGTCTCTCAGGTCGTCTGCAGTGTCATCAAGTCCAGCCAGGCTATCTTCATGCCCATGACATTCGGTAGTATGCTGCTGATGACCCCAAACTATTATAGCACATATTAGTTCAGATAGCTTCAGGAAGCCTCCTTGGCTCGCCCAGAAAATGGCGTTTTATTACATTCAATGCTTTTTTTTTTTTTTGCATATGTGAAAACAAAATGTTAAATGTAGTTCAAGCAGTTACAGACATAAATTGCATATATTGAAATTTTTATACTCTGTGAGTAATCTTTTTAGAATAAAGAAATTATAGATCTTATATTAAAACACTTTTGTACTGAACCTTGTTCTGAGCTAAAAATATACTGTAGTAATAAACCTGGGCAACAAAATTCACATTGCTCCTGTTTTCCTTCCCTCCACTTTCCTCCCTCCCTCCCTCTCTGTCCCTCTCTCTTTTCCTCCCTCTCTCTCTCTTCCTCCCTCCCTCTCTTTTCCTCCCTCTCTCTCTCTCTTCCTCCCTCCCTCTCTCTCCCTCCCGCTCTCTCTTTTTTTCATGAGGAAAACACAGCTATAGGAATCAGAATTAGAGAAACCCTTGAGTCTGACTGCAACTTCAACGCTAACACCAAGGGGAACACACGAACAGGGTAACATTAGCATTATATGGGAAGCTGGCAAACATAAAACTGGCATTTATAAATCAGAGCGAGGACTCTAAAGACAACATATGCATGATGCATGAGAACCGATACAGCACTAAAAGATGCAGCATCAAATCTGCATCTCATAAAAGCACAATGATAAACCTGAAAAAGTTAAAATTTTTACAACAAGGTACAAGTACCTGAATTAGGATAACAGTGCTTTGAAGACAGTTTAAAGGAACTCGGTTTCACAACCGTAGAGGAAAGAAGGAACACGGTAGAGTTGATCACCAATGTACATGTAAAATACTGAGGGAATAGGTAAAGTGGATTAACACAGTCTCTTTAAATTGAGAGAAATTAGACAAGTTATCATCAGCGGAGGCTGAAAATGCATATTAATAACAAAAATCAGAAATACTTGTACAGTGTATAGATGCTTAACAAGTGAATGCACTGAGAGAAGTTGTGGAAGCCACCTCTATCCATCATCATTATTATTATTATTATTGAAGAATGTGTCACATTAATCAAAAGCACAAACATCACCAAGCCAACACAGAGGTAGATATGTTTTTCTTTTGGATATTTTCTGATCTTTTCATACATATCTACAATTTTATAAGAATAACAATTCAATTTGATTCTGTTTTGATATAGGGTTGTCCAGGTGGGGACATACTCAATAATTATGGTTAATGCTGAAGTCTTTATGATTGTCACATTGCATTTTAACATTTATGTACATGTTTCATCCTCTACTACTTTGTACTGAATTAAAATGTCAGCATTTAACCCATTGCCTGCATTTAAAGATTCATGAAATGATTCAGTTGAGCTCTTGAACAAAATTTAATAGTTCATAAAGCTTTTCATAGAGATAGCTAATACTGTAATAGTAATGAATAATCCCATAGGTTATCCAAAGATTTTAATAGAGTGATTAGCCAAAAAATTAGATTGAGAAAGACCACAGATATTCAAGAAATTAAAGACTCATAAGAAATCATATTTTTAATTAGAAATTGAAATTAAGTTTAATTACATGAAAATATGAAAGTTGTGCAAATAAAATAGAGTTGCTCAAGTTAAGTACAAATGTTTGCCCTTAATACAGGATACAAGGTATAAGATAACTTGGCCCCCCAAAATATATATGTACTGTATCTGATTTTGAGTAGGTCGAGCACTCTCCTAGACAATACACAGTAATGCTTCCCAAGGTAAGGTCCTGTTGACCTCTGTTTAAGATCTGATGAAGTCACAGTAAGTAGACATTCGGCACACATGCAGTGAGGAACTTCTCAAGCTGTCCCTGGCAGGTTATAAAGGTGAATAAATCCACAGGAGCCTTGAAGAGGGTTCGAACCAATGTGCTGGGTGTTCCCAGGCATGCTCTAGTCGACTGCACCACGACATGGTCAAGGCTCATGATGTGTGTGTAAACAAATCCACAAGGGCCGTGACGAGGATTCGAACCTATGTCCGAGAGCATCCCAGATGCTGCCTTAAATGACTGAGCTACGACATGGATAAGAATTGCAACCAGAAATTCTACTGAATTTAGTTCATTTGATGCATCACGCTACTGTGATTTCTGTGTGTGTGATGTGTGTGTGTTGGAGAGAAATATATGTAGTAGACATAATAGAGGAAAAATAGATTGGTTACAAAGGCAGGGTCCATGGGCTAATAGTATAATAATAGTGAGAGTTGTGTGAACACACACATCCCTCATCATGGTTCCTGTGGCTTTGTTCATTGATATATCACGTTAATATGATATATACTCTGTGTATAGGTTATACTAGTGTTTGGGTGACTGGAGAATATTTAATTCAGCATAAAATGCAGCCAGAAAGTGTGTTTACATAAAATTCCCTACTTTTCCACGTGCTGTTACAGAAAACAGGGGCCACTATGCAACACCCTAGCTTACTGCTGAATAAGAAAAGATTAGGAATGGGAGCAGCAAAATATTCTTATAAGGAAAGTGTTATCCTACTCAGTTGCTCCCATACCTAACCTTATTCTCACAAAAGGCAAGAACAGGCAAAGAAAATTCATGGACTAAAAGTAAATAAGAAAGTCATAAAAAAAATGCCAAGGCATGGCTTGGGAATAAACTTGGCAGACCGCACTCTTACCCACAGAGGCAGAATCTTCTTTGTGTATTTTGTGTTCAACAAAAACATCAACCACTCATTAAATGTTAATAGTATGTGCATAGCACAAATATATGTCCATGAACATAAGTACAAGAAACAGGAAATGTTTTTCTTGTTTCACAGAAACAGGGAGAATCACCACTTCTGAAAGTACAAACTGACCAAGGACAGAGAATGCATCTTTTAGCAATATATGCAAGAGGAGGCCTAGCCTAAGGAGCTAGGCAGGTATTTTGGGATATATCCTAACTTAACTATCTGAACAAAAGACAAGGATGGATGAAGGAATTCTATGTCTGAGACATAAAAAGCATACAAAGACAAATACTGTTAGCCATGAAAACTATGGCAAGGCATAACCTTGAGGCAAACAAAATAAACCTCACCTCCGCTTCCCCCACACTCACAGAAGGAATTGAATGTGCCCTGTACACAACACAAACACATAATACTGTACAAGGCATAGAGCCAATTACTGTACATTATTGATACTATAGTCTTAAAAGGCTAAAACTCCTGCTGGTGGACTACCAAATTTAAATTTAAAAAAGTAATTGGATGGATAATTAATATTAATAATACACGAACAGTACATACCCTTATGTCCTGGTACAAGGTTCCCAGTCCCATGAATGTAGCAGGAAACTCAAGAGGAGAATCTCCATTGCTGAAAGTACAAATTGATCATGCACAGAAAAGATAACTGGTCAACCGTCAGTTGACCAGTAGTGAAAGTACAGACAAAGGTTTTGTCTTCACATCCGAGAATCAGTCAAGCCCGGGCCGGGCTTGGGAAGTAGAAGAGCTCCCAGAACCCCATCAAGCAGGTATCCATCCAGCAGGTATTGGACTAATGCAATATAAGACTACTGCACAATTGAAACACTTAAGTTCCTAAGGTTCCACTAGCCAGTTAACAGAATAGTTGTAGTGCCCTGCTCATATAACCTTGTGCTGGGGCCTGTCGGTTAAGTGTGTGATAAGGTGGGGTTGGGGTACTTTGTTGTGGTATTGGATCTAGCTACCACTTGGTTGTGGTTGGGGGTAGTAAGCTAATGGATCAATTAGTAGTTAGGGTGCTGCTTAGCTGTCCTTGTGATGCCAAGTAGTGCCTTGAATGACTTTGAGTTTTATGCCAGCATTCTGGGCTGGAGTGGGTATTATCCAGTGTCTCCCTAGCATTAGTATGATCCAGTAGGGACAGTTTGAAGACTGTAACTGCATCTCTGCTGCAGTGACAGTCCAGAATGTCAACTTGCATTGAGTTTGCTAAACCATAAGCAATGGTCAGTAGTACAATATTGTGTCTTAGGGAGCAACTGAGTGGAATAGCTCAGATAGATGTAAACCAACAGATTTGGACTGGCTCTAAATGGCTCTAAATTTTCATGCTGATCCAAGTTTTAATTTTTTTCTCACAATTAATGAGTTCAAATTTCAGTTCAAATTTTAAAATTGTTTGTATTACTGTATCCCTAGTCTGCATCAAAAATTAAATCTATAACTAAAAACATGAAGAAATAATTACTTACTGACGATATTTTTGGGAGTGGAGGAAGTGGTAGGGATTTATTTAAGTGTACAGGAAGCTTTTGTTTTCCTTTTTTTTATAAATAATATGATTGCATCCCTAAAAGTTCATACCATGTCCATAATGATATAAACTTCTGTTATCTATACATATGCCTTCTGTTATTGTCTGATTATTGAAATACAATTGTTCCCAATAAATGTTAAATCTGACTTAACTAAAAACTATTGTGTGTTATCAGGCAACTAGGATTATCAGTTGAGTGCTTTATTATGTTCTGTCCCAATTTCACCACTGCTTAGCTGAGAGCAGAGCTGTTCCCCTCCACAGACGTAAGTAACATTGTGCCACTAGAGCTTATGTTCCCCTAGGCTACACGCCTTCATATTTTGATCCAAGTATTCTTATTATTACAGAATTGTATGTTGCCTGAATAAGTTAAATAGTGATTGAAATATTGATGAATTAGTTGTTGCATTATTTAGTACCGTAAAATAATTCTAGCTTACCATTTTAGGATTTAAATACAGTACTTTGGATTTATTATAAAAATTAAATTTTATGTAAAATTTGTACTATTCACTTTACTATTCATAGAGTACTATACTATTTGGTGATATACTATTCATAGAGTCCAGAAACAATAAAGCTAAAAAAAACTTAAATATTCCAAGGCCTAGTATATCATATATGTACTATTAGGCCTCATATTACACACCTATTATGTATTAGGCCTAGGATGGTTATTTTAGCTTTGGTTTGGTTTTATTAGCAACACAAAACCTTTTCTGGTTTGTCCAAATTCAGTATTACAGTACAAATACTATTTTCTACATGTCCATTACATCACTATATGTATGATGGTCCACATGGTTACTGTAAGTACTATCTAAACAGGAGGATGGGCTGTGATTGTTGACATAATGTGTTAGTGTCAGATGAATAATATATATAACATTGTGAATGTGAACCCACAATAAATATCAGAGGCTCAAACTCTCAAACTTATTACTCAAACAATTCTGTTGTGAGAGTAATTAGATCTGCTGCTCATAACTGCAAATAAAGCTGCTCCTTAAAAAATAAATAAATGTATTTTTTATTCTGTGCATGATCATTTTGTTGTAATGTTAATGGTTTATAAGCTAGTATTGAATTAGGTAGCCTAAGTACAGTATTTAAGTGTGTGAACTTGTATCTGGGTTTTATTATGTTGCTAATCTCAAAGGGGTAATAATTACTTGAGCTCTGTCAGGATAACCGTACCATTGGATAGGAACACATACGGTAAATTGGGATTTGCAGCTGTTGTTGTTTTAGATTCAGCTGCTCGGAACAAAACGTTCTAGGTAGCACGGGCTATAGTGAGCCTGTAGTGGACTTACCTGGCACAGGAGCGGGGCTGTAACTTGCAGCCTCAAGCTCAAGAAGCTACAAATGTAGGACAGAAAACATTAGATGCTTTATCACCCATAGGTTATATACCCATGGAACTGCCTACCTGCTATAAATACCAAGACATTAATTCAGTTCAGAATTCAATTGGAAAAATACCTCGGTAATAATGAGGAGACCTTCTTCAAGCCACCGGCTTACTGTCCCTGTTAATGCTGCTAGAGAGATAGTGGCCTTCAGGTAAAAAGGTGAACTATCTTGAAAGTCTCGGTGCAAACTGGTGGAGGCAGACTCATTTGTATCCAGTAACAAAACTTCATTGTTTCCTACATACACATTGTATACATTGGTCTTTTCCCATATATGCACCATTATATGGTAGTTATTTTTAGCATGTGTGTATGTGTTAACCTCCAAAATGGAGTACTATTTGTTAATCCTCTGAGCCACTGTAGTTAACTTCATTTGTGGGGTATCATTATTTTTATAAGGTTTTTATATCAGTGATGAAAATATGGTTATAATACATCTCTACAGATAAAATCTATATGGATGGAAAATTCTGCTACTGTTTTGCACTGTGAGTTAGAAGCATTGCAGGAATGTATCATTTAATCACCAAAATTTGTACCTTCACAACCAATTGTACCTATTTGTTCATATATAAATCAATAAAATAGTGGCCTGTGGCTCTCTTAAAATAACAATTTGCCCTTTCCCATCAGGATTTATATTTATTCCTTGACGACATTCCTAGACAGAATAGCAGTAAAAGATTGGGTTGAGAGACTTCTTTTGAGCTGTGCCAGGTACAGGTACACATGCAGTATAGGCGGTGGTGCCAAGGAGTGCCGGACCAACCAGGCTGTGGTGGGTATGTGGGCCTGCGGGCCGCTCCATGCAACAGCCTAGTGGACCAAACTCTCACAAGTCAAGCCTGGCCTCGGGCCGGGCTTGGGGGAGTAGAAGAACTCCCAGAACCCCATCAACCAGGTATCAACCAGGTATCAACCAGGCACACACTTTTCTCATTAAGACTACTCATAGCCCAGCCGATAGAGCTTCGACGTCACACGTGTGGAGTCCACGGTTCGAGACTCCTACAGCCCAGATGAATGGAACATTACATTATTGGCCCCATATACAGTACCCAATCACTTGTTCCTGGGAAAACCCTGCTTTGGCTCCTTGAACCTATCTTCTAAAACATAGGTTTAAGGAGCATGACATAACATATTGTGTGCACATAACATGCACATAACAAATGTGTGCAAGATATATGTGCTGTATATTGTATATTTAAGCATATTGATGTTGAGTTACAAGCTTGGAAAGAGTTTTCTCTTGTATAAAGATATATTTCCTGTCTTGTTAAAAAAGATTCATGATTATCTATCTTATAATGATTAATGATAAATATGAAAGGGACATTCATTTTCCTTACTAGAAAAAAATGCGTATATCAACAAGAAAGCCACACACATCAGTGTTGAAATAAAGGAGCTGAATTAGTAATTGCCTGTAACTTGTGACCAAAATATGCAAAATTCCTTGGTTAGTTTGCTTATTTGTCGTGTTTGTGATATTTTATACAGGAGGAACATGTATAGCCTGATGTTGAGTTACTGTAGAGCAAAACTATAAGGATGGTCCTAAACATTGTAAGCATATGCTGGTCAGCTTGATCTTGGCTTTGGTACAGCTATAGACAAAATACATTTGTAAAAGATGCATAATGCCATTGTGACTGACGTCTGCAGTTGACCATTTAAGACAAACTTATTGACTTTTGAAATGGTTCATGTTCCAGATGATCCAGTGCCTGTAAACACTAGTATCAAGCTTGCATTGTATAGTGTAAGTTGCACAATGAAATCACAATAACTTAAGTTTATAGAATATAACAAATTTAGAAAGGACCATAACTTGGGAACTGCATATCAAACAATTAAAAAAATCAATCTAAACCAAAGATCGTTTAAATTGACTAAAACATTATTGACGTGTATGTGAAAAACGTTTTAAGAATATTATCGTCCCATGTTTTATGTTCTTTCATCATTCTTTTGTCACCTTTCTTGTCTTATTTTTAGCTATTTGGATGTTTACCTTGTTTTGTTCTTCATTTCCACTAATGTGAAGGGAATAAGGAAAAAGCCTTTATGTAGGAGTTTCAAGAAAAATATAAAACCTTATATTTTATTTTTGTGATCTGTTAATGTAAGTACCATTTAAAGTTCATAATTTTAAAGAAGACAATGTAATCTTGCAAATCCTTGGTTGATGGCGTGATTTTGTTATTGTTTTGTTCTGCATTAGTTTATGATTTATCATTTTGTTAACAGGCGTTGTGAAGACCCAAACAGCAGTAACAGAGAGGCACCGGACAACAGGTGAGAGGACATCGGATAAACTGGGGGATTAATGTTATTGTGCCATGTTCAGTATTTTAGAAACAAAATTGTCATATACATTATATGTGATTGGGAATGGAGTACTGTACATATCTCCACTATGTGTAATATCTAGATTATAGTAGTCATGTATTTAATTTTGTGTCCCTAACTTACTTCTGTTCTAGTTGACTGTGCAATTACCTAAGTGTAAATACTTAGTGTTGTAGCAGGTGGAGAGCTATGCTCATGGTGTCCCATCCTACCAGTAATTTTTGTCGTGCGTGCGTGTGTGCATATTTCTTTGTGTACTTTTTGTCATTCTGTCTTGACCGCTTTCTCTTACCTATTGTGTCTTTCATTGCTTCTTTGTCCTGGCCGTCATTCTTCCATAATATTAAGGTTAAAGGATTCAAGGCTGTATGAAGTGGTGTTACAAACTTAATTTTATTTAGTATACAATGAATACTATTAAAAGGACAGTAAGACAATATAAATCACTTTGTTAAATCAAATTTCATTTTCATATGATTAACGTTTTCAGTTGCCAATGGCACCTAACAAAGAAAGGTGCCACCTGTTATACTATGCACATAACTAGCTCTAGCTATCTCACTGAATTTATTATCAGACTCTTGGTTACCAAATCCTAAATATGTTAATTTTTCACATGTACATTTTCTAAAGGAACATGAGGTCCCATTGCATGATGTGTAGACGCACCAGATAATAGCTGTGTGCTGTGGCTGTCTGTCTCGTGCCGTGAACGTCGTCACCTGCATCAGGTTCACCAATATCTGAACCCTGTACAGTCATTATCACCGTTGGTTATTTTATCATCATTAAGTGATGGTGTGGATACAAACTGCATGGTGGTGTTGTGAGTTGTTGCTCCATGCACTAATAATGGTTGCTGTCTGAGTACTGAGGCCCTCACACCCAGGAGGAATGCTCACGATTTTTTTCCAAGATGGTATTAGTGTACTGCATCCTTGAGGAAGTGGATGAGAGCCCTGTGTACCCATGGGAGTTTTAAATCTTATGCAATATTTTAATAAAGTCCTGATTGTTACCCTATTGGAATACTGTATATTATTTTTGTTAGTGGAGGATGTGTTTCTTTGCTCATATCTCATTTCTCGCCCTAAAAGGGACCAGTAGTGGCTGTACTCTCTTGAGGTTAGGTTTGTATGATTTTAGATCTACTGTACATCATTCCTTTTGTTCAAGTGTGCTGTTACTGGTTTGCTGAAGTATTTGGTATCCTCTTAAGATTTCTAATTTGGAGCCACCATTATTCTGTATAATAAGGTTTGCCCCTCCCAGCTGATCTGCGGGAGATCAGAAAGTCAACTACAGGCATATCCTAGAGTTCCTGACCTGTGAAAGATTTCCAGCTTACACTGCTAATGTATGGCTTTGGGCTAGCTTTTGTTCAGGTAGCAGTATATTTTTCTAGAGGGTTCATGGTAGCCGCACCTCTCAGGACTGTGTTCAACCTTTCGTTTTTTGTCCCTTCAGTACTATTTCACTCTCTTCATCTTGCAATCTTAGTTGTACTTTAGGAAACAACTGAGTGTTCTAATTAAAAAGTGAGGCTTTGAGTGTATATTTGTACCTAATGTGCATAAATTTTATGTTTTGTTTGTTGTATATGTTTGTCATATTTGCTCTTGAAGCTGTGTGAAAATTTTTTTGGCAAGACGTGTGTAGTGGTGGTGATGGTGGTTTCATGTGGTGACAGTTGGGGGGAGGTAACTTAGCGTAGTAACAGGTGGTTAACTCCTGCATTGCGCACCTGTTTTTTGGCAAAAACTTCATAGTGCAATTGTTAAGGACATATTTTTGTTGTTTTTTGTAAATGTACAGGTAAAGTTAATGTCAAAATATTTCCAAACTCAACTATTTTCATTTCAAAACACAAAGAGTGATGACAACAATAAAAAAAACTTAAAATATAGCCTAATTAAAAAAAAAATAGTACAACTCTCAGAACGAGATTTCTCGGTTAGCACAGCACAATGGTTAATGAGAGTGTACCAGGGTGGTTACTGTTGATGCTGAGGAAGGCTTGCAAGGGCCTAGGGTTTTTGTTAATTCAGCCTCTAGCAGTCATTCCAGGCTGGACTAAATGTTGTCCAGTCCTTCTCTAGTACCATCATGACACAGCAGAGATGTTAGAATGGCTCCCGATGGCAAAAGTGTGGAACGTTGACCTGCCCTGACTGTCACAATACTGACCTTGGAGCCCAAAAGGGTTCTCATTAGCGATCAACTAAGGTGATCAGATAGTGGTTTTCAGATGCCTGCAAATCATTACTTTTTGAAGACCCAAGAGAAGCTGCCACAATGCAGTATTCTTATGCCATATCATTTTTTTGAAGAAAAACAGCAAATTGAGAGTAGACTATTGAAGATGATGTTTGATCTGCAAGAACTTTATATACAAAAAAGTCCCCTGCAAAAGTCAACTCTAATGTATGACGGTCTACTCTGAACTCAGTATTTCTGTAGATCATATTTTCTGTTTGCATTATTGTCATTGTGTTCTTAGGCCTTATGTATTTTCATCATGCTGTCGTTTTTGAGCTATGGTTTATGTAGAAAAATATGAAAATGAGAGTAGACCTTGTATACGTGTGCCATAATCTACAAATAAAGTTCACTCTTATCTTTGTATTTCTCTATAGTTTGGTCAGCACATTGTGCTCTCTTCAATCAGCTGTACTTTATGCCACCATTTGTAATTACAATATTAAGCTGAGACACTAATATATAAACAAATATGTAAGTGTTCTTTTACTTCCATACATCACCAGTGCCATGCATCTTGTATGATTGAAAATTATTACTCGTGTATGATGTGATGTATTTAACTTTTTTCTTAGTTTAGTTTAATGGATATATATAGCATTGATTTTGTTTTAAATGTACAGTACTTTCTAATAGCATTTGCTTGGAATGTCTGCAGTTTAAAAGTGAAAGTGCATTTTCTGTGTAAGCACTTACTTTATAATATTCATAAGAATATTTACTTGCAAATTATGTTTTACTTTATCAGGTATGAGTGGCAGTGAAAGAATAAGAGCAAGGTTGGAACAGTTGGATACGTTAGATGAAATTGGCGGTGGAGCAGTGCGTGAGGTTGGAGGACTTACCCAGGATGAGTTTACTTATCGTCTGAATGGCCTCAAGCAAGAACTCATCGAGTCATGGAACTCTGACCAGCGTGTTAAAGCTCTCAAGATAGCTATTCAGGCTAGTAATTTAATGTTAAAATAATTATGTAACAAGAGATAGTTTGTTTAGCATTGGATGTGATACCAAAATTCTAGTACAGTATGTGAATTATTGGTGAACCCTCAAAATAACCCATTAACAAGCAGCTATATACATTTAGAATATAATTAATAATAATAATAATAATAATAATAATAATAATAATAATTTTATTTAGGTAAAGGTACATACATAAAGAGATTTTACAAAGTTTGTTGGCTTTATAGATAGAGCTAGTACATACAATGCCTAAAGCCACTATTACGCAAAGCGTTTCGGGCAGGAAAAAACACTAATGACTAAAGCTTAAAACTAATGGGTAAAAAGAATAAAATGTGTTGAGTACAAATAAAAATAGAGGTAAAAGAGGGGGGAACATTGTTGAAAAAGCAGCACAAATACAATTACAAATTATTACAGAAAATTACATTCAAACAGCGTTGAATTGAAAAAAAAAAAAAAAAAAAAAAAACATACATGGGTTGACAACAGAGGGGTAAGGTAGGTTACAGGGAATTTATTAGGTATAGCTTCATTTTTAACTTAAACTGGTTGAGAGAGGTACAGTCTTTAACATGGTTGGGAAGGTCATTCCACATTCTGGGCCCCTTGATTTGTAGAGCATTTCTGGTTTGATTAAGTCGTACTCTAGGAATATCAAAACTGTATTTATTTCTGGTGTGGTGCTCATGGGTTCTGTTACAACCTTCTATGAAGCTTTTGAGAGCAGGATTGGCATTATTGCCAGTTCTTGAAATTGATTTGCCATATTTTGTTGTTAACCCCCTAACATGCAGCTGAGAACTTGCACTCATAATTACCTACGCCTGACAGCTGGGTGGACAGCGCTTCAGATTCGTAATCCTGAGGTTCCGGATTCGATCCCCGGTGGAGGCGGACACAAATGGGCAAATTGTTTCTTTCACTCTGATGCCCCTGTTACCTAGCAGTAAATAGGTACCTGGGAGTTAGACAGCTGCTACGGGCTGCTTCCTGGAGGAGGAGGCCTGGTCGAGGACCGGGCCGCGGGGACACTAAACCCCGAAATCATCTCAAGATAGCCTCAAGATAACCTTTGCACAAAACAAACAAATCATGAGCATATCACGAGCATAGCTCTTGTCCTGTAACAACACCTAGGTAATTACACTTAGGTAATTACACAATTGCCTTTGTAAGAAATGGGTGATGAAAGAAAACTAGTGTACGTATCTTCAATCATATTTTTTGTTTTAATTTTACAGTGTGTGAAGTTATTAAGCCTGTCTGCACCAGAGCATTTCTACCCTAGCAAGTTTGTCCTTGTGATAGATATCTTGGACACACTAGCTACACTTGTCTACCAACGACTCAAGCTCAAGTCTGAGACTGGGAAGTAGGTGTATTATAATTATTAATGAATAGATGCTTTTATTAACAAAAACCTATAATTTTTAAGTAGTGACTTAAAGTATGTGGTTCGTCTAAACTTGAGCAGCTTACTTTAACACGTTTACATTCCTGATATGTTCTCTTACCTGTATCCTTTAGAGGTGTTCTGGGTATGAGCGATTAGGTAGAGCTTTCAAAGGGAAAATTTATAATTACTATATTTCATATTTGCACAGCAGTTTATTATGTTATTTTTGTTTACGTGTAAATGTTTAGAAATGATTGCTCTGTTTTATGGTATAAAGAAAAATAGGATTGTATTTGTTATTACATAAACTGTGATAAAACATACTTTTCCTGCTGTGCAGCAAGTCAGCCAGTTTTGTCATATTTATACAAACAAATTTGTACAGCTGTTTATCATAAAAACAGCTTCACTTTCTAGTGTGTGGTTTGGTCAACATATTTCAGCTAGGTTATTGTGACTCCTCGTCTACTCATGCATTATCTACATTGTTTTTATTAGCTCTTCAGTTACATTCTAGTTCATAACTTCACACTGCTCTCCTTAGTTTTGCAGCTGGTGGGAGTAGTGCTGGCAAACTGGAGGCCCAGGAGACAGCTCGGAACTGGTTCTACAAAGTGGCTTCCATCAGAGAACTCCTCCCAAGACTTTATCTTGAAGCTGCTCTTTTGCCTTGTTATTCCATCTTCAATGCTCAGTAAGTCTACATGCTAGTAAAGGTGTAATTTTTTTTTTTTTTCATGTGCTAAACATTTATTTTAGTAAGTAAAATGAGACATTCAATCTTTCTGTTGCTCCTTATCATTTGTCATAAGACATTATTATTCATTTATCATTTTTGTGCCCCTAACTCCACTTTGTACATCCCTTCACACCTATGATTATAAAGTAATTGAATCCTCTTTATATTCTATAAGTTTTCAGAATTGCATACATTTTCAAATTATTGATGTTCAATCTTCAAGATTTCCTATTTATAATAACAAATCATCTTAATAAAAAAAATCAATCTTTCAATGCATATGTAAATCACTTTCCTAAGTAAGTTCTAAGTACGACTCTGTACTTCTACAGAGTACTTCTCTGTAGAAGAAGTACTGTACTTCTCTGTGCTTCAGAGTTCTAAGTTCACTGCTGAAGCATGATGTTACTGACCTTCAATTAGGCTCTGGCGTGGTCAGGGTAGGTTAACATTCTGCAACAGTTCAACAAGAAACTTGTCAAACTGCCTTCACCTGAACATACTGGCCATAGGTAGATATTGGAAAATACTCAATCCAGTCCAGAATGTAAACTTAAATGGTCGTGTCCTGGCAAGTTACCGAACTCCTAATAAAGATTTCTAACCCATCAAGTACCAGATGAGCATAAAGTTTATGCTCATCTGGGGTGCAAAATGGTGTAAATAGGTGTGGGGAGAAGAGGTAACAGGAACATCATCTGCATCCCTCGACACTTTACCCGACCCAGGAAGAAGTGGGTCATCATGAAGAAAGCTTGCCCAAGACAATATACTGGTAGTGCAGGCACGAAACCATGGAGAGACTAAGGAGGCAAGATTATGTAAGAATATTCAGTAACTCCCGAAGTACAGATGTCGCCACAGGGTATAACCCATGAAGAACATTTTCTGTGAGGTGAACAACTGGATGATTTTGGGTCCCTGGAGGAGCCTATGGCTGAACCTGCCAGACCATGCTTAGCAACTGGGAATGAACAGTGCAAGATACCCTTGTATGAGGATTGCAAAGAGTGGCTTCAAACACAAGGCAAGATGCTAAATGAGGATTGACACCACAGAAACTACATGCAAGGTTTGCCAGAGAATCCAGAGGTGTTTACCTAATTACCTAAGGTAATTTCCTCTGGATTCTCTCAAAAACTTTGCATGTTGTTTCTGTGGTGTGAATCCTCAATTTAGCATCTTGTCCTGTGTTTGAAACTACATGAGGAGTAGGGTCGAAAGATAAACCAGAAAAAACACTTTTGGGGGCAGGATTAAGAGCCAATGCTGAACTGGCGAAAGTGGAACTAGGAAAAGTATGCAGGCTGCAACACACTCCAGCTTTTGGAGGATCATAAGAGAAACTGGACTGGAGGAAATACACTCATTTGTCTCATTGATAAACACTGCAAATGAGGAAAGTAGCCACAAACAGGGAGCTGATGGCTCACAGTTGGTGAGTTCCAACTGAGGAACATTGAATGTGTCTCTGGCCATTGAGAAAGCTAGAAGATAAGCACTAACTGGAATTACTGGGAAGGAAGGAGACACATTTAGTGAAAACATTATTGAAAAATTTATGAAGTCTAGGTGCAGAGCTGGTCTTCATGCAGGAGACACTGTGGAAAGCAAACCAAATGACCACTGGTTCCTCAACATGGAATAGATTCCACAACAACAGTATTCCATGATATAGGCAGGAGATCAAGACTGAGCCCAAACTGGCGGTGTTGGGTTAATGCCCAAGGCAAGAAGACACACATATTTCTACATAAAACTACGGTACTGTACTGTATTTTCAATTTACACTCAATTCCATTATCCATTAATTTTCTGACATTAGCATTGTTTTGTTAATAAAATTTTGCACTGGAATTTCCAAAGTTAACAAATTTTCTTCACTTGAGAAAATATATAAAATGGAACAAAAGAGAGTTCCATTTTTATCCTTACTCTTTTTCTAAGGGAAAAAGTCACATATTACCTATAATTTGGATATGTATTGCCTTTTTATATATTTTAATAATCCTCAAGTAATATTGTAAACAACTTATCTTGTATCTGTTTGTGATCCTTGTTCACCAATTATATAATTTGTCTTTCCATTATTAATAGAGAAGGAGAACAGGCTCTTTCAAGATTATCTCGGATGATCCGTGGAATTGGTGATCCTCTGATGGCTGCTTATGCACGAATGTATGTGTGCCGCATGGGCTTTGAGGTTGCACCATCACTCACTCAATATATATCAGAGAGTATAGAAGATTTTCTGCATGCTCTGAAGCAGGTATGTTTTTGTGTACATGGCCTGTTTACTTGGGCTTATCTTAAAATAGGAGGCTGGCATTGGTCTCTTAATTCAGGTCTTTCAATGATGCTTGTATGCATTCTTGTAATGCATACAAGCCAGTCCATGCCATCAAAGTAAAAAATTAGGCGATTATGATCTACTTATTCTACAGGCATTTTAAAGTCGCATTCTTTCTTCAGTCTAGTATTAAAGCTTCTTAATTTTTAGACAAAATTAGTATAACTAATTTATTTTGTTAGTCAAAATGTTTACAATTCTAGGGACTATGGCCAGAAGGAGAAGCAGACATGAATATGGGTGAGGATAAGGATTCTCTGGCCGTTCGTGTTTTCTCTCCGCCGCTCAGGTGGATGATGCAGTGTCTGGCCAGCAGTGCCCCCCACCACGTCCTGCAGGTAAGCCATATTGTGAATGGCAACACTACTGGGAAGCACAGTGTAATGACAGCTTCTTTAGGAATTACCAACTTCAAGGGGAGTCAAGCTGGTTTACTATATTTATGCAAAAGCATACCGTTTGTGGTAGAAAATCTCTGGTTAAATTTCATATTATAGCTGCAAATAGATTAAACTATTTTAAAGAGCAAATTAAGTAAAATGTCATTGATGAGAACATTTTTAATGAATTCCTGGCTAATAATAATGATGAAACTGGATTTAACTGAATTGTACCCAAAGCACAACTTTTGCTAAAAGGTTAGACTAAAAAGTGTCGGGTTGTAACGCATTAAGAAATTCCATGCACAACTTCCCTGTGGTCTACTATCCCTCGAAGAAGGCTTAGGTAACAATGAGGATTTTCTTGGGCAGGTTTCACAATAATTTTAGCCCAGAAGTTACAGTATGAAATGAAAAAGTGGGGCATTAGGTACACTAGATTCAAGCATTGTTGCTTTTAGATTATGTTACTGGTCAACCTAATATTAACAATCTGAAATCTTCTGATGGAACTATAACATGCAAGGCTTTACAACCCAAAATGAAATGAGAAATTATATTTCTCTGATACAACCTTTGGAGCTAGGCATTATATATACTTTAAAAAGGTATTAATGTAATTATGTGTTGGTATTTGAAGTGGAGGATGATTAGTGTATAGAGATAGGTAAAGAGCAGCAAAACATTGAGAATATTATAAAGATAAATGGTTAAATTGACTACTAGGAAAAGCTTTGGAAATAGATCAAGGTAACAGCTCTAAAGTGGACCTTGGATAGGTTCCTAAAACTTCTGTCCCAGCTCAGGAGTCTGAATGTGAAGGCTTTGAGGTAGAAATCTTTTGAATGTTTGTTCACAGATGTTGGCGAGGAAATTACCTTGACAATGCAAGAGAAAGGTTAGACTTATGCAAATGTCCCAGGTTTTGGTATTTTGACACCAAGTTCATTTTCTGGCAGTGTGCAGGAGAATGAACTGGTTCACAAGAAAAAGAAGCTAAAATACATACCTTAAAATAATGAAAGGATTATTGTAAGTTTATGGAACTGATGATCTGTAGAATGGTTTGTTTTTGGCATTTAAAGTACATGCGAGGGCTTTCTGTCAAGTTGATTAGATCAGGTAGGCAACAAACTCTTATAGCTAAAGCAGGACTAGGGGGCAGGACCTAGTGGGACCTTGTAGGTGGAATCAAAAAAGGTCTTGAGGTAGTCTAGTAGGAACTCAGAGGTAGGGTCTAGTAAGGACTCAAGGGCACAATCTAGTAGGGATATGGGTAATATTTAGTAGGGACTCAGGTAGGACCTAGTAGGAATCTGGGGCTAGGATCTAGTAGGGTTTTCTGATTACATGGTAATCAGCGCATACATGTAAACACACTTGGGTGTATACAATCAGTGTCGGAAAAATTGTTCTCTGAGCACAACTTTGTGAATACTTCAGACTTACATTTTGGTAAGGAGAATTGTTTAACTATGTATCTGTTATTTTTCAGAACCTTTATACTGGAATAAAGTAGTAAATGTAGCTACAATGTAGGTGCTAAATGATGGATTATTTGTGGAATTATATACTTAATTGCATAGGTAGAATGTTAAACTTCATGAGGTGGTAAATAATAAAGTGGTGTATTTATTATCAGAGTGTCCTTCGTCAGTGTGAGGGAGGAGAGGGCTTGGGTCAGAATTTACTTGTTTCTGCCGTGCTCACCACGTTTCCTAACCACTTCGTAGCCTCGCAGGCACTTCCTCTCACCCACCTTATAGCTGGTTGTTCCTCTCCAGGTTAGTGTGCTTACCATATACTAACACCATTTCATGGTCTGTGTCAGTTTGATTGGAAGATCATCTTTACCACAACTTTTATATTTGCACATTACAGCCTGTAGACACTGCCATTCCTGGAGGAGTTCCCCATGTAAAACCATCCCTAGACCTATTAATGTATCCTTAGGTGTTAAAAATGTTTTGATATACACTGTAAAATGTAGTAAAGTTTACTGACGAACTATGAAAGCAGTAATGTAGAATACAAGATTTTTCTTAACTTACAAAGTCGTAGATGAGCAGAATTCCAGAATAAGTGGCATGTACGAAGAACACAGGCAAACTTAAACCGAATTATTATAAGATGTGCAATTATGACATGATTTTGTTCTATTAAGCGGCAAAAACACCTAGATATTGTGTTATTTACCCAATAGTACCAAATACCAAAAAACCTCCTTTTCCAAAAAATCTCAATTGATTAGGTGGAGGGTGATTGCATTGTACAGTATACAATATTATATAACAACAGAGTTGAGTAATATTAAAACTTGATATTTCAGGTAAAGTTGAGCATGAACTGTTATCAGCCCTCGGTGGGTGTGTGAACCAAGCTGCTCCTCCCCAGCACCAGCAGCTCCCACTTCTGAACGCTGTGTGGAAGCTCATCGCTCGTATACCTCGAACCAAGGATTACCTCTCTACTGCTGGCATATGGCTGGAGTATACTGCTAAGCACTTTACAGTAAAGCCCTTTAAAGTTTTGGGTCTGATAATCAATAGTATGAGGTAGAATATCTGTTAATTTTTGCAATTTCATCCATAGGTTGTACAATACTTGTACTCTAATTGGTATTAGTTGGCTGCCAACTAACACCAAATTACATTCTGGCATCTTTGAGAACACTACAAAACATACAATATACTGCCCAAGCCATCATGGAAACATCAGAGTGGCAAACAGCTACAATGGGCCTACTGGCCCATAAGTGTGGTGTTTCACCTTCACCTTTGTCATGGGGCTGTGATACTTATTGTGGTATACTCAATGTAAACCTACCACTAGACTGTGCTCCAGGGTTGCCTTATTCATTTCAAACATACATTCTAGCAAGCCCTCCAGGGGGGTTGGGTCAAGGCCCAGCCCCTAGGGAAAGTATTCCCACAAATTGACCTGCTTTTGGATGTGATAGACCCCACACTTGACAAAAGGAATAACTAGTATGTATACTTACGTTTTATTAATCCCAGAATCCTTTCCCACGACAAACTGGCACTGCCTGTTCACATTTACGAGTTTAGTAGTTTTTATGTTTATTTAATGCAGGCTTGGTTACAACGGTTGGTTGCAATATAGTGATGTGTCTGCGGTCTATCCCTGTGCCCACGACGTTCGTAAGTTCGTCGTAGGCATAAGGTGGTTGTTTTGGGATTCCTACCTTTCTGGGTGCGTGACCTAGTAGCTGGCAGACATAGACTACTTCCAACTACACCGGGGGGGGGGGGGGGGGCTATAGGCCATTGCTCCTCGTGTCTCTCTTGAGGGCCCAGGTTCTGGCACTGGTCCCCGGTAGGCTTAGAACTCCATCGATTGACTGTTGCCATGGTCTAATATATACACATCAGCCTGGTATAGCTCCGGGAAGCCTCTGGGTCTCACCCAGAAAATGGTGTTTCATTACATTCAACACTTTTTTTTTTTGTTTGGTACCAACTCTCTCATTGTAACTTATACATTCTGGGTAAACCTCAGAACATAGTATGGTAATTTTCAAATATTGAACTTAAGATTATACATGTAATAAATGAACATAAATTCCATGGATCTTTATTTCTGAACAGTATTACTTAGTTCTCCTACCACTTCCCAACCATGGAATAGATTTGTATTCACTAATGGCAAAGATGAGAATAAACATTACCATTTATTTGTTCATGGGGGAAAAATTGTGGAGATGCAAGTCATGTGTATCATTTGAACGTGTCATTATGTAAGAATGTAAACCAAACTGTGCATAAAACATGCAGAAATCTGTGCCGGCTTAATGTTGGGAACCCAGTGCTTCCATGTAATAAAGTTTTAAAGTGACTACAGTGCCAACTATGCAGATAGTAAATGACTCGAATACAAACTTTGTTGGATAGTGAGAGTTGATTACACAATGTGTGTAAATTATTTATAGTTTTGCTCATCTGAAGCATTTTCTTTACAGTCAGTTGAAGTTAACACCCTGCTTGGAGATGTTCTGAAACATGTTGGGGCAGATGGGAGCCGTGACCAGGCTCATTATCCTGCACTCCTGGCTCTGGTGTCTACTGCTCTTACCAACTCCACCGATCCTCACTCACTCTTCTCCATGGTGTGTCTCTTGGTATTATATAATTTAAATTATAGCTTGGCATAACACTGTCTCAATATATTGTATATGTATTTTCAGAGATGTCTGATTCTAAAAATGGAAAGCTATATGGGATAAAACATTGAGGCCATCCCATGTATGGCCTCATCTAAAGTACTGTATTCAAAACTTTGTAATAATGTAGCTCTTTAAACTAAAAATTGTTTTGCATTTCATTTTGTAGTAAAAATTATTTTCTACAATTCTGGAAACATTAAACACTTTTCATAGGTTAAACAATCCAGCACCAGGGAGTTGAACAAGATTGTTTAATTTAGCAGTTATTTAAGCTTGTGTTTTATTGTTTCAGAAACACTTTGTGGGTCTACTGAATGTGTTTCAACGAGACAGTGTGAGTGCAGGTGATGGAGTGACACGCGGAGTGGTTGAAGCACTGCTCTCTCACCACCCGGGCAACTTCACAGACCCAACCTTAGTGCAACACCTCCTTACTCTTTGTGGTGCACTCCACGACTCCATTAAGTAAGCAACTGATATTTCTGTGGAGAAGCCCTGTTGGCTTCCTGGAGATATTGGACTGATATTAGCTAATATTAGTACAGGGCTTCAGTCATATGGAGTTGTCATGCCTACCAGGGACCAGTCACCAGAACATTTTCCCCCTCAGAGAAGTGAAGGGAGGCTGACGGCTTCAACAATGTCAGTTTGGACAGCTAGACAAGAGTAATGCTTCCAAGATCAGGGTGCATGTTATCGAGTGAAGGTCCTTCTATGCGGGGCATTCCTTACCAACAATTTTCACCTTCTCCAGAATCACTTTAGTTGTGGAAGTCACTTCTGTGCTAGAGCAGCACTCTAAAGGTTCTCCATCAATAATATATTTGAATAGGGGGCTTAATATAGTAGGAACTTGAAACTGTATCTATGCTGAGGGCACTTCATTAGTGTGGCAGTATTCAGAAGGGTTTTACGTGAACACTGTGGTAAAACAATCAACATTAATTTACAAACTTGCCTCTAATCTACAGGGAGCTTGCATTACTTTGAGTGGTGTCATTAAAGTTACTATCGCTTTATAGAGAGACTGGGATGCCTCTCTGACTGATCATATGGTTTCTTGTGGACAATCCTGTCTAATACTTTAGACAACCACTCATAGACACTGCTTTCCTATCCAGTTGTAAGGGAAAATTGCGAGTTTTCTCTGGACACTTGGGGTCGTAAATGACACGCACAATCAGCAACAGTAATGACCTGCCAAGTTGACAGTCACTCTAGCATGAATACTAAATGCATTGTATGTGTAACATACACATTCACTCTTGACAGGTTGAATAATTGTGATTCCACACAGATAATCACTTCTTTACCCTCATTCTGTCTGTACACTCAAATCTCCACCTGTTGCAGGTGTTTAACACGGTGAGTAAGCCTTCGCCTGATCAGCAATTGGCGTGAAGATAGACAATAAACCAGTGACACTTGGAGTTTGTACTTAAAATAATGCTTGCCTCAATCATTTATACACCCTCTTATACACAATGTTTGTTGCTGTGAGGGAAAGTCGATGAGAACCTTGCAGGTGGTACGAGTCTTGGTGCCCACAGGGGCTGTGGCTCAAGAAGCATTTAAGAGTCCTTAGCTCAGAAAAAAATGTAGAATTTATGTGCTTTGTTTACAGTGAAATATACTTTTTTTTGTTATTTCCAGTGCTTTAACAACAGATGATGAGAGGCGACAATTGTCCCAGCTGATTATATCTTTTATTCGGCAAGTTAATTTTGGACGGGATTTTGAGCAGCAATTAGATTTTTATGTAAATGCTCGCGCCGCCTTCTCCAACCTTGACCCAGTGCTGGTTTCTCTTGTACAGGTAAATTTAGAGAAGTAATATACAATGCTGTATAATCGAAGTGACCTTTAATACTATGTTACAACTCACCTTCCAATATTAATAGCACCTACAGCTATTATGGGGTAGAATGTACAAAATATGTACTGCTGTACCCCCAAAAAAGTTCATATTTTGTACTATTAGAATTCTAAATGGCATAAAAATAAATAAAATAGTATCCATAATCCTCACCTAATCTGTCAAAGGCCTAAATAAGCAATTCTTTGCCTAACATATGCAATCTTGTCAAATTTTGTACTGGACTAAGCCAAGAAAAGTTAGATTTGGTTGTTGCCTTCATTCTCTATCACTCTACAAAATTTATAGAAGAAAACATGGACTTTTGTGCATGTGCTACAGTGCATATTTTATACTTCTATCCATAGTAACACTGGGTACTTCCTTCCATAGTAGCACCAGGTATTTCCATCCATAGTAACATTATGTACTTCCATAGTAATGCTAAGTACAGTACTTCCATTCATAGTAACACTAGGTACTGTACTTCCATCCTAGTATAATGGTATTTGTGGATAAGAAATACCAGTCATGAGTCAATATTTATTAAGGGCAACTTTAGCTGTAAGAGCTTTGACAACTCTTGTATTAATGGTTATCTGTAAATAATCTCGCTTCCCGGAATGTTTTGCTCTACTGGTCTCACTCATTTAGTTAAGTGTGTTAGTCTTAGAATAAGGTATTTCTTAGTGCTGAGTGGTATTTTTAGGAGCTGTTTTATGGTAACATTTAATGAAAATTGGTGAATGTATTAGAAAATTTGCATTGAATTGGCTAATTTTCATGATACAGTATAGCCAATTATCTTTACCACAGGACAATATTTTATATTCTCTGCTATAGTTGGACCTTGCAGTGAAAGATAAAATGGTAGAATTTAATATCAGATGATATTTTGCTTATAAAATGTTCAGCAAATCTAATCTATATCTGATAAAATAGTTACAGGCAAAATAATACTTTTTATTAAAGTCTACCCTCCTGGTGTTTCTCCATCATTGTCAGTAATTTGTGTTCCTCACTACCTGGTTATACTTCAGTTTTGATATGCTGTGTTTCAGTGTGTGTGTCAACTAGCAATGGCAACTTGGAAAGTGATGCACGGCCAACACTCTGGCAAGACAGGCTCATTTGTTCGTGCGTGTGCTGCGTACTGCTTCATTACGGTGCCTTCATTAGCTTCCTCCGTGATGCGCCTCAAACTCTACCTTCTCTCAGGGACTGTAGCATTATTAAATAACTGCTTAGGCCAAGGTAAATATTTCCTGATTATATCTGTACTTTCATTGCATTGATTATAAGCAAACACCTTTTTCTGCTTGGGCCTCGTGGCCCTCTGGTCCCCTTTCCCCACCTTTCAAGGTTTGTCAGTGAGCTTTTTTTGTGCTCCAGACTGAGCTGTTGACATGGGGAGTCGGGGCTCCTAGTGATGTTGCCACCTGGTGATGGCAACCTGTAATTAGTGCTTTTGATCTAATTGCTTGGGTAGTCAGTGAAGTCATTTGTTGCTTTGTTTCACTTCTATCTGTGAACCTTGTGGTTGTTTTACTACGCTTACTTTCTGGATGTTTCCATGGTGAAGGTGATCATAACAATTCTCTCCTCCCTGAGCCTCTGTGAGAGGGGTGCAGGTTCTGGCTCTGGGGCCAGATTCACAAAGCAGTTATGCAAGCACTTACGAACGTGTACATCTTTCGTCAATCTCTGACAGCTTTGGTTACATTTATTAAACAGTTTACAAGAATGAAAACTTGCAAAATCAACTGTTTAATGATTGAAGCAAAGCCGCCAAAGATTGAGAAAAGATGTACAGGTTCGTAAGTGCTTGCATAACTGCTTCGTGAATCTGGCCTCTGGTCTCCTGTAGGCCATTAAGGACTCGTGATGTGACTTGTGTGTGACAGGGAGCCACTGAGGTCCAACCAGAGAGGCGCGTTATTACATTCAACGCTGGTATATTTTTTTTTACTTCTATCGGCACCACTTATCCAGTTTAGCAGGAATTTCCATACCGAGTGCTTAGCTCATCCATTGCAATCAACATCAACTGAGATGGAACCCTTTTATTACATTCAATTTTCTAGATGACCAAACCCTTTTAGAAAAGGAATTCACTGTTAATAAAATCATGCTTAACATGACTGACAGTGTGACATGTACATTGTCAAAATGCATATGATACTTATGTCCTTTCCAGTACATATGTAACACAAATCAGTAGCTAAAATTCAGCTTAAGTTACTGTCCAAATTAGCCGAACATTTTCATGTATTGTATAATAATTCATATTTCCAGGAGATGCCTGCATGAAAGCTGCTATCAGAGAGGTGTTGGAAGTTGAAGGCTCTGCAGAAACGGGCCCAACCCCTGATGTTCTGCGGTTGTTGGTTGGCAACTTAGCTTCTACCCTAGTTGCTACACCAGATCCCCCTGATGCCTCTCCACCACTGTACTTGCTTCGTGGTCTTACTAATGCTTTACGATCCAACTCTTGGCAAAAAGATACAGACATTCAAGCTGTCTTGTCAATTTCATTACTCCATGCTCTCTCTGCTGCATCTCAGGACACTTTACCTTACCATATTCACTCAGGTAAATTTTAATATTGTTTTATCGTCAGTATCAGTTCTGCTTTTATATATATGTCCCTTCCAGGAATGTGTGTAGGAAAGTTTGAAGTCAGGAAGTCTTCTCTTGAAATGGCAGTTTGTGTTCCAAATGTTGAGTAACATGGATATTTTATACTAAAATAATTTTTGTATTCAGTGATAAATAATTATTAATTAACTGGTGTATACCCTACCTTGCTAAGTATAGTTGAAAATTAATAATACACGCAGAAAAGGGGAAAAAATTCCTAACTTGACACTATTATATTAATATAAATACAATGTTTTTTTTATTTTCAGTGGAGGGTAATGACTCACTGTACGGAGGAGATTCACAAGTACAGCAAGAAGCAGAGCAACTTTGTACAGCAATATTACATAATATTCTCTCTCATATGCAGGTATGGTAATAACAACACACTCCGATATTTATGGAAATAAATAATGTGATAAAAGGACTGAAATTGGTAAGATAAATATTGAATGATGAGCAAGGTGAGGACACTAGGACAAAGTGTGCATGTGAAACTTGGCTTTACAAGAGTACAATCTGGGTTTAAATATAGGACATGGAGTTTGGAAGAGGGAGTGAAATTAAATATGAAGCATCAAAGGGTGGAGGTATAGTAAGCTGCAATTTAATTATGAGTAAGTGGTATGTTAGCTTGAATGCCTTGTTCAAGGCAACTGTGGTTCCATCACAGAGGAATACACTTCTGTGTTAGTACTGTATTCCTCAGTGCTAGTGATGCACTCCAAGGAGCTAGTGCTATACTCATTGGTGCTAGTGCTGCATTCGTCGGTGCTAGTGCTAAACTCTTCAGAGATAGCACTACACCCCTTGGTGCTAGTACAGTACTGCATTCTTCGGTTCTAGCATAAGTTAGAAAAAAGTGCATATATCTAATGAATTTTAGTCTTTATAAATGTTGATCTAGTGTACTAGTGTATTTCCTTGATACTCTCCCAACATTGCAGAATTAAAAGTTAACCCAGAAATCCAATTTGTTATTTATTATTATTTATACTGTATCATCTGTATATAACACTGCATGGGCAAAAATTCTTGCACTGACAAAAATTTATGTCTGTAGTGAAAAGTTGCAATTATCCTCATTTTAGGGAAATAATTATAATTATATGACAGAGCCTAACTGGAATTCACGAGAAACGTTGTGGAACGCTGGCCCTGACGTTGTTGTGGTGTATAGTGACATGGTGCGACCTCACCCAACCCCAGATGATGAAAGTGGCCTCTCAGATGTGGTCATTGGTGCTTAAACATAGTCATCCAGAAAGTGTGGTTAGTATTAACTATGTTCCTTACTATGTCATGATATTGTGTGAAGTATGTTATTGACCTGTGTTCCATACTCTATGATATGTAAAGTGTATTATCTATACATTAACATCAGATACTTACATGGATAGAAAAAACTAGATAAGAATAGGTGCAGCTAAGTTGCATGAAATGGTAGTTCCAACCCTAATTTATGGTTGCAACACTTTGGTATTGTATGAATGAGAAAACATACAACTCTGAACAGTAGAAATAGATAATCTGAGAAGCATTATCTACATTTACTATTATGAGAATAGATAAAAAATGAAAAGCTCATGGAGATGGAGAGTGCAACTATCAGTTAACTATAATATTGAGTAGAGTAATTGAAATCTGAGGATATGGGCATACTGAACAAATGGTTAGACTGATGAAGCGAGTGTATTAGTGAACTTGAGATGAGGAGAGGAAAGCTTGGAAAAGTGGACAGGCCCAGTGATTATACAAGGCAGTGGTAAGTGAGTATTAACAACACACAAGGGACAATGCTGGGTGGAAGTGATCTGTAAGGAGGTGTACTGACAAATCATTTGAAGCCTTTTATACCTGGTCTTGTGAAGCAGTTGGGCACTGATATGGATGATTGTTGGAAAGCAATTGTGCTTGTGTGTGATGCTATATACAGTGAATGATACACTGAATGAAAAAATAATGTTTTCTCTTTTCATATATGTAACCTACTTTCACAATATTGATCTCTTTTTCTCTTCAGGCCAGTGCCTTCCTGCCCCCATGAAAGTGGAGACTGGGTAACATGAACTTGAAGCAAAGTGCTATGATAACCACTTGAAATTATTTATTTTCATTGCTTATCAAGCTAACAATTAATTTTTTTATGTAGATGTGCACTGCATACATTCCTACCCTTCAAGTTCTTGTCCAAGTATTAAATATAAGGCACATCTTGAGTTAATTACAACATTAAGATTTCAGTGCACTTCATGGTAACAGCTGCAGTTACCCCGGTCTCCTTGGTTATGAAGCATAGTTGCTGTTTTTGTTTGGAGAGATACATGTGCTTTCTTCACACTTGAATCCCTAACTGATTTGATGACATCTTTTCTAGGTTCAAGCGAGGGACTGGATATCAAGACGTTCTGTTCAGTATAAAGATGGAAGCCTGGCTCAGCTAGTTAGACAGTGCTAGGTATAGAAACTAGTACAATGTCTATATAATTTATGAAGGTAATAATGCAGTTAGTGATACTTTAAGATCATTTGCAATGAAATTTGATCTTTTCTGGGAAGGGGGGCCTCTTCAGCTCCCCGGAGTTATCCGGGCTGATATAAATGTATTAGACCCTGGCATTAGTCAAGCGAATAGAGTTCTAGGCCTACCAGGGACCACGAGCCAGAACCTGGGCCCCCCTCAGAAAGGCACAAAGAGCAATGGTCTATAGAAACCGGTTTCCCTTCTTCCCTGTTCCAAGATGCAGATTTCCCAGGTCGTCTGCAGGGTTATTCGGTCCAGCCAGCCTGCGGTCTATCTCCATGTCCACAACGTTTGTAAGTTCACGGCTTTGGCTGCTGTTTTTTGGTAACATGTCCTGGGCTGACATTTAGGAGCGGGGTTTTTGGCGGTTGAACAGGGTCCTGGCCGCATGGTACCTTGTTATGTTCCTGGCCCTATTTAGGCGAGTGTAACTTTAGATCGCAGGGTGCTGTCAGTTGTCTCAACTTTGAGTTGAGGAGCGAGTGTCAACCACCTCCAGGGTAAGTCCCTCATTTTCTTATCTTTGGTTAGGTAGCTCCATGGCACCAAAGGGGTTCTCCACAGAAAACCAGCATTGAACATAATGAAACGCCATTTTCTGGGCGAGTCCTGGAGGCTCCTCGGCAATCCTCCCTCCTTCCAGTCGGTGGTTTTCGTGTTTTAACATTCAGCCTTTGAATTGCGGTTGAATAGCTGGAGTGGGGGTCTGGGGCTCCCCCTTTCCCCTTCCCAGGAGGGAAGAGCTGTGCAGACAACAGCACGTCACCAATGGTGATGTCATGCTTGTTTGTTTTTGGTTTGGGGAGTTCTACTTGATAGTTCGGCTTTCGGTGCAATTTTTAACAAGCTGTAGTTTGTTTTAGGACGCCTACCTTTCTGGGTGCTTAACCCCATAGATGGCAGACATAGAATGCTTCCAACTGCATGGGGGGTTTCTATAGGCCATTGCTCCTCGTGCCTGTCTGAGGGGGCCAGGTTCTGGCTCGTGGTCCCCAGTAGGCTAGAACTCCATCGAATTGACTGATGCCATGGTTACATGCATATAAGCCCGGTAAGCTCCAGGGAGCCTACAGGACTCGCCCAGAAAATGGTGTTTCATTACATTCAATGCTTTTTTTTTCTGTTTTTTTTTTAAGAATTTATTTGAAAAAAAAAAATTAAGCTTAAAATGTAGTTAATCTAAACTTTCTACATGGCAATAACCAAATATAGTACTGAAAAAAACAAGAAATGGTTTGGCACCCTTAAGACATTCATTTATTTAAATCATATAGATGTTACAAGTCTGTTTTACAATTTTGTGACAAAAAATATTTCTCTTGAAAAAGATGGTACATAAAACGTGTGAAATATTTCACAAACTGGTATGACTACTTCCCTCTCCCTCACTGGTACACCGATCAGCTGTTGTAAATGGAGAGTTTGCAGGGCTATGTTTTCTACTATAATATATGCTAACCATTGTGATATTATATGGTAAATACATTAAATAGACTTACCAAACATGAGTTTCAGTAGGCAATACAAAGTGGTGTGAGAGGTATGACAAGTGGTGCACAACAAGTGTTAGGCCACTTGTTTATCTCTCGGTGGTTAAGGTTCACATTTTATGTTCGGCAGGCAAGTTGACCCCCTGGTTTTGGAAAGATTTTTAGGCTTCAAATGTTGACTTGTATGCCAGCATATACAGTAATTATTTTTTGCTCTGTAAATATATGCTTCTATTGCTAATACTTTTTTTTTCCCCTTTGAGTGAAGTAGCTAAACATTTATGATACATTACATTACTAATATTAATTACTGTAGTATGAAAATTACAAAATGCACTTTAAAAGTATTACTGAAGGAAAACCTAATCCTTATTTTTCTATGTTATCTGTATCAGTCTTTCATGTACAAAGTGAAAATGGAAACGGCCCCTTTAACTATTCACAACTTAGCGAGACTAACTCGGTGGGTACCATTGGTTTTAAGCGACCGACTTTTGATTTGTGAAGTCAGTCCCTTTCAACTAACAATGCCCACCTGGAAGACTTATTTTTCTCCAGTAGGTCAGTTTATATTTATCCACTGTGCACTGAAAACTATTTAAATAGCAAAATCTGCAATTCAGCTAAAATACAGTACAGTATTTCAACCACACATCTAGGGGGCCAGAGTTCAAAATGAGTCAAGGAAGATAACAGTACCTTTATAGAACTTGTAAATGGATTCTAATATGAATCCCTTATAGCAATCTAATTTTAAAATAATCTAGAATTATATCCCGTGCATTGACTCTTGTTGCACCAATTTCTTTATCACCAGCTCATTCTTAGCACACTTTACTCTTGTATGTAGTGTGCCGGTACACTATAATCTTTACCACCATCGTGCCGCCCACTCACCTGTGTGGCAGGCGCCTGCCAGGAAAGAATAGGAAAGTTAAACACACAGTAGCACATGAACTTTCATACCATCATTTATTTGGAAGCATATTTGAAAACTAGTTCTAAAACACAGGAAATTTCTACAGTAGTATTTCAGCTATTTCATAGTGGTCCATGTAGATTGACACCATACAACAAAATAATCATGCCTTTGTGACATACTGCTTCTACCCATCCCTGTCCATTGCTAGTTTTCAAGTAGTTTATACAAAAACATTTTTACACTTGCCAATCACATCTCACATTTGTCCTCCATCACAAGTAAATTCTATAAAAACATGCTATTGAATAATCTTAAAAACTCAGACTTTTACATTACACACCTTTCCAAAATAATTTGATTTCTTATGCTTTTTTCTATGCTGCTCTAATATTTCAATATATTTCATTGACCATACAATACCTAGGGTTTCACACCAATAGCTCCAGACTGCTCTCTAGCTGCATTCGTTTTTAAACTATTTTGTACAAGCCACTTCCTTGACCAATATTGACTTTAGTGACAAATTCATGTCTTAAGCTACAGGAAAACAAACTCATTAAACTACACATACATCGCTTCTACAATGCCATGTACATAAACCCCTACAGTTGTACTTAAATTTTAATCTCTCGACTCCATATGAAACGACTGTTGTGACAACACTGTAGCTTGGCACATGTCTACATATACAGTAATGTATATTTAAACACAATTAGAAAAAGCAGGAATATTTGACAATACTTCTCACTGCATACATCCTTAAAAAATTCCAAGCTTGTGTAACACCTAAGCCTTGATCACATGTGAAGCAGTACAGAAAATAGCTAAAAACCTGGCAAGTGAAGAGCATGGTATAGTTTATAGTGGCAACCGAGTATTGTGGTTTCTGATAACATGATGATGATGATGGTGGTGGTAATAAGGAAGTTACAGTATTATATTTAATGGCATCATCCCAGACCTGTATTTTTGGCATTTGTAGTTTTATATATATATATATATAACGTTTGTACATTTATACAGGATACAATGCACACATTGTCTGAATATTTATATGCATACTCTCCTTACATCATCAATGGTTAAACACCAATTCAGTTCCTTAAATATATTCAGATAAATTTGCATATCCATTTCACAAAATTATACTTTGCACTGAACAAATTTTAATCAAGTCTTGAGCATTTATTAAAAAATAAAAGTAGATTATTAGAATTGAGATTCCACACTATAGACAAACTAAAGAAAGTAATTTCAATAAAAGACCATTAATGGGCTAACCTTGTGTGGGGAGACCAATGCGCAATGAGAATATACTGCAACTAAAAATAAAATGTTTCGAAACACAACTTGAAAATAAATGCTAAGTTCACATTCTTCTTCTGTTTTCTACAAACCAACTTGGTTCCAGTCTGTGCTTGAGATATCCCATGATCTTCTTTAGAAACTGTCAAAAATAAAATGTTAATTAGCATAGGTAATAGTTTTCACCTCCAATACAATGACTGAATTATTGCAAATTGTTTAATTAGCTAAAGTAAATCCAAACATTGAATGTAATGAAATGCCTCTTTCTGGACGAGCCCTGGTGGCTCCCTGAAGCTAACTTGCTTAGAGTGCTCCTGCATGGTAAAAACTCACATTAATTGTGGAAATTGTGTTAGGCCAGAACTTGGCCTCCCTCACAGAGGCACAGTGAGTGGGTGATATTTTGCCACCTCACCAAAAAAAAAAACTCCAGAAAGTTAGCACACTTTACAGACAACTGCAGGGCTCACAGATAGCAAAGACTTGAAACCACAAACAACCCTGCAAACGCTTCACATTGAATGGAGGTTTCACTCAAACGACCTCGACACTCGTTGGTACCAATCACCACCACCAAGCCATCTGGCCCTGGCACCCAGCTGGTTACTCAGGTCAGTTCTGGAGCTGATCAACAACCCCAACAAAGCTGGAGGAAGGGTGTGTGCCAGCGAGCCACAGCAGCCTCCAGAGGTGTGCTTCATTACATTCAACACCAGGTTTCTGGAGTGAGCCCCCCCTGGTGGCTCCCTGAAGGTAACCGCAGAGAATAAAAATGGGATTTTCTAGGAAGGAGGAGAGGTGGCAAGTATTAAGATGAAGAAGAGAACCCAGGCCAAAAGATGCAGTCCAAAGCCACAAATAACTGACTAAGAATCTTGACCAATTACCAGGCTGCCAGAACTGTTAGAATGCCAAACCCCCGAGCCCAAATATCAGCCCAGGATATATTATAGAAGACTGTGGCTAAACCTACTTATCTGCGACTATCATGGGTCCAAAGGTAGACCACAGGCTGACTAGATTTAATGAGACTGCAGATGTCCTGAGAGATGCAAGCCTTGGAACAGAGAACCAAGGAAACAGGATCAACCAACAAGGCTTCTACCATGACAGAACCAGTGCCACACAGCAATTCATGCACTCTCAGTCGAAGCAACCAAGTATTAATCGCTATCCATTCCACTGCACGAGTCATAAAAGTATGATTTACAGTATTGCATAAGATTTAAAAGTCATGTAGGTATATAGGGCTCTCATCAGCATTCTCAGGCCTCTAGTAAATAGATACCATTTTGAAAAAAATTCATGGACACCATTCCTGAGTGTGATGGCATCAGTACTGAGTAAGTAACCAAGGCTGGCACATGCAGCATGAGCTAACAGCACTGCTCTTCAGCTGGCATCAACAGCATCACTTAAAGAATGACAAAATGTATAAGAACAATAAATGCTATGATTTTGCAATGATAGTACCATAGAAGATCCTAACTGTAATAAAGACTGTATAATGTTCATAGTGTGAGTGTGATGCAGACAGCCACTGCACTCAACCATAATTTGTTGTATCTACACATCATGAAATGACCTCATGCTCCCTTAGAAATTAAACTTGTGCAAAATTATTCAAATTTAGGATTTAATGACCAGGATGCCGATAATAATAGCCGGCAAGGACTCCTGACACAACAGGCCCAACCCCAGATACAGAGGAGGAACCAACCAGCTCCACCGAAGGTAAATGTTACTGCAGCTGCTCTGTGATTGGCCAGTTATGCTAACTGTTGCCTGAATGAGATAGGCATCTCTGTTTAGATAGACACATGAGCCCAGCACACTCACGCTAGTAGTGCTGCATGCGTTATTCTGATTTCGGAGGTCACGGAGTGTCAAAGTCTGTAGTGCTGTTTCCTGACTTGGCCAAGGAAGGAGAAGCACAACTTCTTGTCTGACACCCATGCAAAGTTTTCTGTCACTTATCTCATGTATCCAGTTTGAGCTAAGAAGGCTCTCCAAATCATTTAACTTGCTTCAGGGATTGTATAGAGGAACTTATAGAGGGTGAAGTGAACAGTGGACATGGCCTACAGACTCCATGTGATTCAAAGTGTTGCAGAATTAACAGACTGCTTAAATCATAAATTATCAGTGACATCATTGGTAGAGCCAGTCTCCTGTGCACCTAGCTTAACTCCATACTTATCTTTGAAACTTGTGCACAAGTATCAGAGTTAATTTATCATTACCTGGGAATGAAATATATGAGAGAGAAGGACTGGTACCATATAGTGATTGTGTAGAGGTTGCCACATGACTGTGTACTCTGCTGCACTGTGTGAGTGCCCAGCTGACCACTGTGATTGTGCCACCATCTCATTAGCCTGCACATTATATGCCATGTACAGCCATGGCAGCCATTGTGAGGTGAAAGTCATCACCTTGAACTGTGTACTCACCTAGTTGTGCTTCTGGGGGTTGAGCTTTGGCTCTTTGGTCCCTTCTCTCAACTGTCAATCAACAATAATGTATCGACACCATCAGTGAATGATTCGTATCCTAGTTAAAGCGTAGATGTCTAGAGTGGGAGGTCCAGCCAATTACTATAAGTGTTAATTTGTCATTTCTAGTTTGTTACCTTGGAATTGATTCGCAGGAATTGACCCCCCCCCAGATAAAGCTGGACTCTCTTTATGGAGTCCAGCTTTACCAGGGGTCCACAATAACATATGGAATGTGTTATGTTATTGTGCTATCTTTTACAGGTATTGTGATATATACATCATTGTTGTGTACAATTTATATAATTCTGTGATAAGATGTAACTGTGCAATGCTTGTGCTTTTGTCTGACAAGTGTGTTATAGTATACTACTGTATGTCAGTCAATTTCCCTGGCTTTTTGCCAGTGGCTGAAAGTTATCACAAGTGTTAAGTTAGCTCACTTTGTTGCCTTGCAAGTGGCTAATAAGCATTTTGGCTCTGTGGGATACAATCCTGCTGGATGATGCTGATTGCTTAGCTTTTGCTGGCAGTGAGACTTTCATTAACATAAAGAAACCATGTGTAATTAAGTTATTTTAATAAACTTGTATTAGATTACATGGAGCTTTCAATCAAATCCTTTCTCCCTGTACTACTCTATGACCTGCTTGCTCTTTTTATAGTTCTTGACACCATCTGAAGCATAGCGCTGCTTCACAGCACTCCTTGCACCATTTATAAATGTGGTGTATGACACCATAACATTCTTCGCCTCTAACGATAGCAATTTGTGCAGAACAATGACTCCTAACGAAAGATTACGATATAGTGGAAAAGATCATAACATCGTGTCCTCTCGACCACTGGCATATCTGTAACTTGTCACGGGCTTTTTGGGTAATTCAATGTGGAGCTATTGCAAGTGCAAGGTTCAATTGCAGGTCTATGACAAAACCCCAGTCATTAAAGGTATGAATGTGCCCTGTGGTGTACTGCAATAAGGTCCCCCTGACAGCATATGCACGGATGAACCTGCCACTTGCCCACATCCTCGAAAAGCACCAGAGCAAACAAACAGGTTCTCTAGCATAGCAAAGGAAGTCACACTCGGAAACGCCATTAACTAGATTTCTACCTATGCAGATATTGTCTAGTACACAATAATCTACATAAAAGATTTTACTCTACTGTAAATGTATTCATTCCATATCTTTACACAATGAAGAAAATATACCTCACGCTGTGCTGTCGCTGTCTCGGTCATCATCTGTGTTATTCCAGGTTCTTCTAATAGTGTGTTGGGAACAGAATACAGAGCATCAGAAATTTTAAACATTAGATCGAGGGCCATTTTTTCATCATCAGGATTCTGAAGATCACTATCTGAAAGAATAAAAACCAAGGGTGGAATGTAATGAAACTCTTTCCTGATGAGGCCCCCAAGAGTAGCTACCTGAACTAAGCCCTAGTACCACCAAGCTTTGACTTGTTGGTACTAGAGCTGTAAGGTCGATGGCAATTATGACATACTTTACATTAACCACCGTGTTGCGCCGAGTTTATTGTGAAATTCCCTGTGTGCATGAAATAAAGTGTTCCTCCCCAAAAAATTTCTGAACATGTTTTTTGAAATTCCAAAAACTCAAAAAATGTTCAAAAAATTCTTGTTTTTTGAACATGAAAGTAATTATTATATATCACACGACAGGTCCTAAGAAAGTCAGTGGTAAGGTTCAATCTAAGAAAACACATGTGAGGATGAGAAGAAAAGCAAGAGATCATTCATAAACATGAAAATGGTATGAGGGTTGTTGATGTAGAGTAGATGATCCCTTCCTCATTATGTAATGCATGTATTACATTTTTATATATATATTAAGAAAATGTGGCCAGTATGGAAAGAATTGCAAAGTTTTGCTGAAAAGTGTCCCTCAAATCAAACCGTGGCAGACCGTTGTGTTATCCTTCTTAATGACAATATGATGTCTCGCTTCAGACAAGTGTCACAATGTAGGGCACAATAAGTGTTGCTAGACAGGTTTTTAGTGAGGAAAAACAAGCAGTGAGCCACAAGCAGGTCCTAGTGGTATGCAGGCAAAGCGTGCCAGAGAGAGTACCCCAGAAAAGTCATCACTGTCTGATGTCATAATGGAAGGGGACTCCCCTTCCAAAGACTAACACCTCTCCTCCTCCCTTCCTCACTGTCTTCCATACACCAACAAGAGTCCTCATTCAAGGTAAGATATACATACTGTATTGTAGTGTTATTTGGTCTAAAATGTGTTTTTAAGCTAATATTTTTGGGGGTATGAAACGAATTAATTCAATTTACATTACAGTATTTCTTATGGGAAAATTTGTTTCGACTTACGACCCATCTCTGGGAACGGATTAAATTTGTAAGTCGAGGCCCCACTGTATAGCACATACCAGTTCGGATAGCTTCAGGGAGCCGACGGGGCTCTCCACAGAAAACCAGTGAATAAACAGTTCAGCGACATTGAAATAAACAAGTAAAAATATATTTGCAAATTATGATTTTTTCCTGTGATCAGGGAATGCATTTTAACAAGATTAGAAAGAAAAAAATGTTGGATTCTTTTTTCTTACACACCTGGGAGCTGTCAACTATAAACAGGTGTACAGTGCAGGGGTTAAATCAATAGTGTACAATTATAATTAAAGAGAAAAAACATACCCTGTATTTAAAACCATGTTTAACATGTAATCACTTATTTCACAATATAGTACAAAAGAAAATAACTTACCTGGCATAGCATGAGTTTTTACAATGAAGTTGAGCTGTACCATCAGTTCTTCTAGATCATGTTTCTGTACTTCCTGATCTTTAGTATCCACTATGCGTGGGGGAGGCGGCGGTGGTAGTGGAGGCAATGGTGGCAGTTGGACAGGATCTAAGAATAATTGTACAAGTTTACCTTATAGATCTTTATATACCTTACTGTTCTACATGTTTGTGTTAAACATACTTGAAGCTTCAAATCAATAATAAAGGAAAAGTTCTCTATCATACATTAAATTAACCAGCTCTTTTAGGAAAACCTAGAAATCATGGGTTGAACTTAATAAATTAATGTTTTCAGTCTATAACTGAGACAATACATATATTAGAATAAGAAAATATTGAGGAAATGAAATGTGATAAAACTTGCATCCCTGGATGTTCTAGACATTACATTGTCTATAAAAGCAAAATTACCAATAAAATAAGCAGTTGCTAATGGCTTGAGCGGTGTGTCATATGAACATAACATGTTAACCCCTGTACTCACATACTTGTGCTTGCAGGAGTTGAGCTTTGGCTCTTTGGCCCCGAATGTAAACCTCAAATGACCCCATCCCCTGAGCCTCAACAGCACTCCCAAACTCTTGCACTACTCAGGAATGTGACCTCTCAAGAATGAACACCCAAACCCACCTGGAACCTAAACCCTGTTAGGGTAGGAGGCAATGTCAGCAAGCTCTTAAGGAAGGCAGCCCAAGACTCATGCAGCTCGAGGTAAATATTTTCACCGACTCCACACAACAAATGAGGCTATGAACACATGCTTGTGAAGCAAATACTAAAGAATGGAAACGAATACACAAGCAAATGGGCCTTAACAAAGGCTTACCAAAATGATGGCAAATACCTATCTGGTAAAATATACCAGGACTCAAAGGGTTGGGCAAAGATAGAGTCAAAGTCAGAATATGCTGACAACAGGCAATGGACTGAAGTGGTTTGCTAGTTGGAGCAGGGAGCTTCTCCATGCTGTCACCTGGTAGTGACCAGTTGCAAATAGAGGGTGAATGACCAAACTGGTAAATGGAGGGGTAATGTTTCCCCCTTTGTTTATATTTGCTTTACTGCTGTCTGTTTTGATTCCCTTTACCTTTCTGGAGGTTAGTTCCTTGGTGAGGGTGATCAGTTGATCCCCCTGTTCTCTGCACCTTGTCAGGGGGGCCAGGTTTTGGCCTCTGGTCTCCAAGACTTTTTACCGATATGCAAGGGGCCTGGTGTGAACTTATCGGCATTGTGCTATCAGTTGCTGCATAACTACACGGAGCCACTAAAGGACCCATTCCACAAAATGCATTTCTGCTGCTTATGCAACATTTTCCTCACTAATCTGGTACAGAGGACCCTTGCTATCCATGACTCTGATACTCATGAATTTTACTATCAATTGTCTATGCATTTTATTCAGAATTTCACTATAACAATGAAGGGAAGTGGGGCAGCTCCTTGCAGTGCATGTGGAGGTAAGTGTGCATGAGAGACCTCTCTAGTTGTGCCACTATGTGGCCATAAGGAAAACTAGGCCTCTTGTCTTGGAGAGAATGAACAGCATATATTAAATCTGTATAACTTCTAACTGTATAACCCAGTGCTACTCACTGTGTTGTGTTTTGTCTTAGTCCCCTCATCCTTTCCTTTATGCTTTCATTATCTGTAGTCTTAAATGACAGAAAACTAGGATATGTCAATATGTAGGCAGAAAGATTAATGCATTTGAATATCTTTAACTCTCCAAACAAATATTTTTGAAAACCTCATACTGCAGTAAACTGAACAAGTGGTTATCTTCACAATCATTTTTTAATTTAATTCTTCAATTAAATTTTGACTCTCTGGATTCCTATATTAACGATCAATCATTGACATGACAAATTAAACTTAACTCAGAATGACATACTTAGCTCAATTCTTGCAGCATCCAAGGTAGGTAGTGGTGGAGATTTGTTACGATACAGAGAAAGTGGAGACTTTTCTCTCGACAGTGATCTTCTTACTGGAGAAATTTTTCGACACCCTTTGGAAGGCTTTGAGCTATACCTCTCTGGAGAGCTTACTGGAGATTCCCCTGGCGAACGTTTTGGTGATCGCTTAAGGTAACCACGGCCAATAGGAGTCCTACTTCCTGAAGGCCCTGGTGATGGGGAGCTCGACGGGGATCTGTAAACCAAAATTAGCATTAATATTTATAAATTCTTTATGTATTGTATAACACACACACACACACATTTTTTGTATATTTGTGTACATATGCCCTCACCCAGTTATGTTTGTTGGGATTGACCTTCAGCTCTTGGGCCCACAATGCAAATTATCCAATGTAGGTTGGAACAGCTCCTAACCCTCTTGTGCCATTGTTGGAGATAGCTTTCAATAAACAATGAACAGTTTCTATTAAGCTGAAAATGGAGTTAACTTTCACTAATCTGTGAATGGAATTAGCGTCCACTAACCTGTGATTGGAACTAGGTTTCACTAATCTGTGAATGGAACTAGCTTTCACTAATCTGTGAATGGAATTAAGCTTCTACTAAGTGGTGAATGGATTTTCTAGAGGAAGCAAGTGTCTGCCTGAAGCTATCTTGCTGAGATGCTGAGATTGCTCCATACTAAAAAGTCATATTAGTCACAAAAGTTCTGTTTAACCTACCAGGGACCAGAGCCAGAATCTGGCCCCTCACATAAGGTGCAGATAGAGAATGACAATCTGTCACCTCACTGGAAAAAATCCTCAGAAAGTCAGCCGAGCTTCAAAGACAACTGTAGGGGTCACAGAAAGTAAAGCATCAAAACTGCCAAACTCCTCCATAAACGGTTCATACAGAACAAAGAATTCACTCAAATTAGTTCAAAAATAGTTAGTACTGATTACCACTTTCAGGTAGCTTTAGGTCTCCCCACTCAGTTCTGCTGTTGATGAAGCAGCATATAGAGTTGGCTGTCGTGCTTCTGGTCCATCAGATCGTTGGCAAGCCTCTCTGCTTCTAGTTAAATGCTGGCCATCCTTGGACTCTGTTGTTGTTCTGCAGGGGCCATTTGCTTTGTATATTTTTGTGTATTTTAATACTGGATTCACTTGCATGTTTTAATACTAGCTTGTGTGGGCTTGGCTCTTGTTGCATTTTGGACTGCATAAGCCCACTAATGCTGCCCTTTGGTGTGTTCAGGAGTTTGACCCCGAGAGGCCTGGCCGATGGGATGGAGGGCCTGTCCTTGGGCTGACCACAGAACTTTGGTTCCTCTGGTTGGGCCCTTGGCTGGGGATGTTCTTTTGTTGTATTCATTGCATTGGAGTTTGCGTGCCTGTATACACGGCCCATCGCAGTCACCACTCATACCCTGGTTGATTTGGCTGCGGCTGGTGACTTTTCTTCTGGTAAGCGACTCCAACGCTTGGGATTTCTGCTTGGTTAACCTCCTTTAGACCCTGGTAATTCTCCTGTGGTGTCTGGTTTGGTCCCAATGGAATGCTCCATGTGAGTTTGTAGGGGGCTTGTCAGTCCTGCTACTGACTAGCAGTCATTCTCTGCCTTAAGTATTTCTTTTACTTATTTTGTGTCTAAATCAGATCTCCTCTAGTTCTGCTTGTTGAAAATTCAGTTCTCTTAATCTGTAGCTCAGGTATTCTATTTCTGATATTAATCTTGTGGCCTATCATTGGGCTGGACTTTTGTGTATTATTATAACCTATTTACACATTAGTAGGTGTGTAAAAAGGGCAACAAATAGTGTTTTCATCTAAAGAAGATAAGAGAAAACCAACTCGCTGCCTAAAATGATGAAGGAAAACAAAAAAAATCCAACATTGAATGTAATAAATTATCTATTTTCTGGTGGGTTTCTTTGAAGGCCCTTCAAGCTACTTGCCTGGTTAGCTCCAAGCCAGACCAGCAGGGACAGGAAACCAGAGCTGCAGTTAACACAGGAAATTCTGTAGTTGGAGACTCAAATGGGTGTTCAACTTTACAGAGATGCTAGCCATTCAAAAGGCTTGGAAACGTGCTCTTGCTGAACACCGACAACTTGTTATCATACATTAAGATTCGAGAACTGCCATTGAAATCTTACAAGAAGAACATGTACGTGACAGCATCCAACCGACCAAAGATGTCATAGTATTTATGTAACTACTCAAACGTCAAGGCCGTCGGATACTTATCAACTGGGTGCCAAGTTATGTGGGAATTATATGAAATGACATTGCAGACAAAGCTGCCAAACTTGCCACTTCTCTTAAGAGAAGAACTGTAGATATTTACATACTACATGGTCTAACAAAGATTAAGAAAGTAATTAAAAATAGAGCACTGCGGAAGATGTACAGTGACCACAGCATAGCAGTTGTACCATCAGGATCTGAATGTTAGTACAAGAATTCAACCAGGAGGTAGTTGACACAAGCTAATTAAACAAGGCTGCTAAGAAAAACATTAGAATTTAACCATTCCAACTGTAATGCCTTGTTTAACCATTGTCAGTCCCAAGGTGATCAGATTTTGGGGATTATGCTTGTATTGTAGTTAAATATATTGTATAAGACTACTTCAGTTGATAAGAGTGATTTATGAAATACCAAAATTAGGACGAAAGTTTCCTAATAAACATACCTCGTCTCAATTTTAACATCTGTTAGGTGTTTTGCTACAGCACGGCCTTCTTCTTTCCATTTATAGGGAAAATAATCACTTCCTGGAAAAGTTGTACAAGAGATGTTACTGTAACAAGTTCCACACCCAAAATCCAGATTAATATTTTTCTTGGCCTAATGGATAGGTTGAACTCACTCACTTACTCATTTGAACTCACAAAGTGTACTTGTGAAAGTTCATTCAGGAGTAAGCGTATGCTTCCTGCTATACTAAAATTATGAAAGCTAAAAATAATGCAACTGAAAACAGTACAGTGCAACAGTGAGGACCCAGTCCACCATGGATCATGGTGGACTGGGGCCCCTCATTAATATTAATACAAAAGTTAGACATTTTAACAACAGTGGTGCCCTGGATTTAACAAGCAGGTATAGTCCTATATAAGTTATATTCAATGGATGTTGTAGCAAAAACCTAACTACAGTGTTCCTAGTTGCCAGACTTATTAATATTTTCCTTGCAGTAGTGTGTTTTGGAGTACTCTACCTTTCTGGTGGTATTTCCTCTTAGCTTTGATTGGCCTAGTATCACCAGCTCCCTATACTGTACATTTCTGAGTGGACTGATTCTGTCTCTAGTAGGCTTTTATGTTTAGCAAGGGCCTGGTGGGACATGATACATGTAGTTATCCAGGTGGCTAGACCAGAGAGCTACCGAGAGGTTTCTCCCAGAAAATAATGTCAAGTGTAGATGATCTGTTCCTCTCAGTTCTGTCACTCCGAGCCAGCCGGCAGGCAGGAGTTGCCAAGAATATGTTTGTTTACATATTTATTTCAATGTTTCTGATTAGTTTTTTCTCTGGCTTTTTGCAGTAATGTTATTCAATAACATGTCTTGAAAAATTGATATAATAAAATGTGCTGAACATCAGAAAGCTCAAATATATTCATGCCACTAAGATGTATCTATGTTATTTGCTTAAAAAAATACAAACTGATATTTTTCGGGCTGATATAATATATTCACACTTAATATATTTAACTATGTACATTTTCATGCATGTTTACAAACCACTAAGTCATTGTGAAGGGTGTGGTAATCTCATAACATGTGGTCAAGAGTTCAATCTAGTTCTGCATGCTTTGCATGAAATTGTAACTGCAAGAATTAAATAGGCACATCCTGCCAGCTTGCCTGCAGGCACATCCTGCCAGCTTGCCTGCAGGCACATCCTGCCAGCTTGCCTGCAGGCACATCCTGCCAGCTTGCCTGCAGGCACATCCTGCCAGCTTGCCTGCAGGCACATCCTGCCAGCTTGCCTGCAGGCACATCCTGCCAGCTTGCCTGCAGGCACATCCTGCCAGCTTGCCTGCAGGCACATCCTGCCAGCTTGCCTGCAGGCACATCCTGCCAGCTTGCCTGCAGGCACATCCTGCCAGCTTGCCTGCAGGCACATCCTGCCAGCTTGCCTGCAGGCACATCCTGCCAGCTTGCCTGCAGGCACATCCTGCCAGCTTGCCTGCAGGCACATCCTGCCAGCTTGCCTGCAGGCACATCCTGCCAGCTTGCCTGCAGGCACATCCTGCCAGCTTGCCTGCAGGCACATCCTGCCAGCTTGCCTGCAGGCACATCCTGCCAGCTTGCCTGCAGGCACATCCTGCCAGCTTGCCTGCAGGCACATCCTGCCAGCTTGCCTGCAGGCACATCCTGCCAGCTTGCCTGCAGGCACATCCTGCCAGCTTGCCTGCAGGCACATCCTGCCAGCTTGCCTGCAGGCACATCCTGCCAGCTTGCCTGCAGGCACATCCTGCCAGCTTGCCTGCAGGCACATCCTGCCAGCTTGCCTGCAGGCACATCCTGCCAGCTTGCCTGCCAGCCTGCAGGCACATCCTGCCAGCCTGCAGGCACATCCTGCCTAAAATATACGATGATGTACTGTACATTTAAGAAACAAATCTGGGTCACAGGTCTGAGGAATGTGGTTAGGCTTACGGAGTCAGCCGGTCCCTCCCCACACCACCGACACACCTCCCCCTCTCCCCCCACCCCAAACACATACACACACACACTCAAAGGTCACGTGGTTCATGGTTCACTTCAACACCCATATATCGCTTCCTGCCTGCCTGCCTCCTTCCCAGCCTGCAAGCCTGCCTGCCTGCCTCCTTCCCAGCCTGCAAGCCTGCCTGCCTGCCTGCCTCCTTCCCAGCCTGCAAGCCTGCCTGCCTGCCTGCCTGCCTGCCTCCTTCCCAGCCTGCAAGCCTGCCTGCCTGCCTCCTTCCCAGCCTGCAAGCCTGCCTGCCTGCCTCCTTCCCAGCCTGCAAGCCTGCCTGCCTCCTTCCCAGCCTGCAAGCCTGCCTGCCTCCTTCCCAGCCTGCAAGCCTCCTTCCCAGCCTGCAAGCCTGCCTGCCTGCCTCCTTCCCAGCCTGCAAGCCTGCCTGCCTGCCTGCCTCCTTCCCAGCCTGCCTGCCTGCCTGCCTGCCTGCCTCCTTCCCAGCCTGCCTGCCTCCTTCCCAGCCTGCAAGCCTGCCTGCCTCCTTCCCAGCCTGCAAGCCTGCCTGCCTCCTTCCCAGCCTGCAAGCCTGCCTGCCTCCTTCCCAGCCTGCCTGCCTCCTTCCCAGCCTGCCTGCCTCCTTCCCAGCCTGCCTGCCTCCTTCCCAGCCTGCCTGCCTCCTACACTATTTTCTTCACATTTGTAATGTTATAAGATGACTTTTCAAGTGCAATGATACAATGGGCTGGCAATAATATTACGGTATTTATATCACAGAACATGTAGTTCATAGGTACACACAGATATACAGCATTCATGTCATTAAGATACATACTATATTATTTGCTGAAGTACAATCAAACTTTCTATTTTTGGTATTATTATATTGCATATATACTTTAAATGGATCCTACAGCACAGTGGCCAACTGCAGTAGATTGACAACCAAATGTCCTGGGGTTCAATTTGGGTGCAGGGCAGACATCTGAGCACATTGTCTTACACCAGATGCTGCTCTTCACCTAGTTGTAAATAGGTATTCAGGAGTTAGGCAACTATAATGAGCTGCATTCTGGGGAAGGTCAATCACTGGCCTATGGGGACCACAATAAGCTTACATATGAGTGTCTATTAGGAAGTGAAATTTAGTTCTTTAAACTGTACCTCCTATATGATTAGTGGATAAACATACCTCTAATAGTTTTCAAACCTCGTGTATTAATTCCTTCAGCTGCGATCACCTGACGACGAAGTTCTTCACGTTCATTAGGAGTTAAGATTGAATTCCTCAAAACACAACTGGATTTCTGGAAAGTAAATAATTATTAATCTGATATCCATTTACTATGTAATCAGTACCTTCTCTGATATTTTAGGGGACCCTGTATAAAGGTTATATATTTCCATTCCAAGTCAGCAATAAACTGGGTAAGACAAACTGGCCCATCATTAAACTTCTTAGACAAAAAATAAATACAATATACACAATCAAATCACAAGAACACGATTTATCCAATAAAATATTCAAGCCGTATAATGGGATTGAAACTGCATTCCTGGACTCCTCAGGAGCACACACTATTGACTGAACCATGATGATCTAAAAGGATCTTGGCCAGAAGTACTGTACTACCTGACTAACTTGGGGTTTGGAAGCCATCATCCATTGCCACAATCTAAGTTTTACAAGATGTTCCCCCATCTCTCGTTTCCATCAATACACAGAAATTACAAGAAAATGTGTTCAAATTGTGTTCACATTCCTTTGAGTTCATTGTTCATTAACAGTAGTGACAGAGAACATCATTACCAAAACAGAAATATGAGTGGGCATCTCAAAATTTGAATTGCGGTACTGGATGGTACCTTCAAAACTCAAAGTTAGTCAGGTAGTAGATCTGCTTGAGATACTTTAAGAGGCCTGTGTCAAAGTTATTCTTGAGTATGTTTCCAAATTTACACATCTGTTTACATTTAGCCTTTAACCCCTGCACTGGGCACCTGTTACATGTGACAACCTTATGGTGCACAAGCAAACAATTACTGTATTTCAACAAATTGATATATTCTGTTATTGTTATTTGACTGTAGTGCATCGTAAAATTCTTGTGATGACGTCACCAAATCATGATCGCTCTTGCAGCAAACAATCCAGGCTGATACGCAGCCCATTCAAGAGGTGAGAGTTGCAATGAATGAATGAATGAATGAATGAATGAATGAATGAATGAATGAATGAATGAATGAAATGAATGAATGAATAAAATGTGATTATTAGACCGGGGCATCAGACAAAGGAATTCTGCCTACCAGAGACGACCACTAGACGACCAACATGGTCCCCTCAGAAGAGGCGCAGGGAACAATGGCCAATAGAAACCCCCATGTGGTTGGGAGCATTCAATGTCTGTCACCGACAGGGTTGGCACCCAGAAAGGGAGGCACAACAAAACAAACCCCACTTGGTAAGAAAAAGCAATCGAAGATCGAACAAAGAAACACATTCAAAGCTAATAATCTAAGCTTTCTAATGGCAATAAAAATAAATATTTAAAAATTTTGGAAAAATGAATCAGCCTCCTTGAGCTCACCATGATTTAGTCATTAGTGAATGTACCTGTGTAGTTCAGGGTTACAGGTTTGTTCCCATCGTACAGCTTCAATATTTTCTCATACTTACAATATACTTTTCTGTATGCTTCCTGCCAATTAAATGGTGGTACATAGTGTCCAGCTTGCCATGTGCTCCACACAGGTTACATTTATAGTATGGAGACCCACGTCCACGAACATATTCTTCAACCAATTGTAGACCTTGGGTGGGGAGGGGAGAAATGTAAGTTAGATCTCTACTGTGGCTCACTATATTAAAGTACAGAGCATCCTCACTAACGAATTTCCGGATGGTCTGAACAAATTGCATTCGGTACTAAATGTTCTGTGGAACATACAAATGTTCGATTAAGAAAGGATGGTTTGTCAAAGTCGTCACCAAGACCGAGTGTCAGGGGGGCTGTCATCAAGTATTGATTCACCAAAGTGTAAATAGTTATACTGTGATTTATTTTGCTTACCATTTTGTTTCAGGGAGAAAAGATTGAAGGATGATAAAATGGTGTCAGAGGAGGCAGGTGGTGTCATTGGTGAGAGTTGGTGTCAGGCAGGTGGTGTCATTGGTGAGGGTTGGTGTCAGGGGCAGGTGGTGTCATTGGTGAGGGTTGGTGTCAGGGGCAGGTGGTGTCATTGGTGAGGGTTGGTGTCAGGGGCAGGTGGTGTCAGTCATTGCAGTTTAGTATCAAGGAACAAGTGGTAGAAGTTATTCTCATGTGAGGCCAGTAGAGTTAGTGGTGTCAGTGGTGGAAGTTCTTATCAGGGAAAGCAGGTGATGTTAGTTGTGGAAGTTGTCATGAAAGGCAGGTGGTGCCAGTGATGCGTAAAGAGACACGTCCAGCACAAGGCTGGTCTGGCTTGAGTGATCAGCTGACTGACAACACTGGCAGTACGTGACTGGCGCTGCTGCTGCCTCAATGCTTCACTCACTCGCTGCTCTTCACCAAATTAGCCGAAAACCTTTTACCATTTTTCTTGTAACTCATCAATCTATTATATTCCGTAGTCAAAATTAAAAATTAAAAACGAAGAATTCACAATAAGTGGTGGAGTTGAGGGAATTGTATTAGGGAAGTGGGGAGACAGCTAGCCTCTACCCAAGTCTACATTTATACTCATTAATACTGTACCTCATATGTACATTACTTTGTATATTCCTTATTCATATTAATAAACTGTTTTTCATTTAATTTTATTATTTGCTGGATGTATATGAGTATGTAATTGTTGATATGAAACTCAAACAAACTGTGTATGCCTGGACTGGTCTGGCCCAAGGCCTGATCTGGCCTCTGGCCTAATCTGGCCAGAGGCCTGCCAGTCTGGGCGCCACCCGCCCTTCCCCTACGACACTCCCTACCCAACCACCAGAGGCTGCCCTGGTGGTTGGGTAGTGGTGGTCTCCACGACCACCAGAGGCCCGCTAACCTTGTTCGTTTGTTGAGAAAATTCGATGATTTTGCTTGATTGATTCAATAATGCTCATATATGTAGCATTTTTATACCAAATTGTTTGTAAGTGATTGCTTTATCAAATGCTATATTGAAAATTAAGAATTCATAATAGATTTATTTTTCTGAATATTTATATCAAAACTGATACAGTTGGCTTATGGAAACCCCTGGCCATTACATCCTATTTGCAGCCACCAATAATAATCACATAATTAATGGTAATGTCTTCTCACAGACATAACATAGTCAAACTTGAGTGCTATTCGTTGTCACCTCAATAATGAGGCCCTCACACCTAGGTGGGGTTCCCACAATTGTTTTCCAAGATGAGTCTGTTTACTGAAGACCTCATGAAGCAAATGTCAGCCAAGTATGGGACTTTTAAATCTTACGTGGTATTTTAAATTGTCCCTCATGGACTCATGCAGTAGGGTCAGATATGGCATGATTGTCCCAGTTTGACGTGAGCATTTAAAGGGTTAACTTCAGTGATAGCTATACCATTAAGTAAACTGGTTTTATTTTAAACATAATTATTAGATATTGCACACTTAATAGTATATAGAGAGAAATAAAATTATCTTAAAAATATTATACTTACATTATTTTCTCTCATTACAGAATAAGTCACCAAATAATAGCAAATAAATAAAAATCAATATTTCTGTACAATTATTATTTTCTCAGGGGCATTGAAATTATATCCCTTCAAAGTAAATGCCTTTTAAGGCATAAGAAAGAGTAATGTGTGTTCTCCAACTCACCAGTATTATTTATAGCAACTTATACTGTACAATTAAAATTTACGTACCTAAGGGTTGAACTTTCGAGTTCAGTAGTTTATAATGTAGAGAATCTGTAGGATAATTTGAAGCTAAGGCTTTCAAGTTTACCTCTCCACTTTCGCGACACTTCTTGTCCCGATTCTAAAAGAATTATGGCATTTTCTTAAAATTTTTATTATTTGGTAAGAAATTAAATATACAAACAAGAAACATTTAGCATTTATCTGTAACCATTAAAGTGTATTGAAAATTAAATTCAATGCAAGCAAATATTGCAATGTTTTCAATGCAATTTTGTTTTAATGAATGAATAGTGGTAATAAATAACTTTGATTTTTAAATGCAGACTTACTTTTTGATGAGCCCCTGATCTGAAGTGCTCTGCCATGGCATTCTCAGAGTTCATTTCACGATTACATATCTGTTTAAATAAGTAATAGTTATTTAATATACAGTACCTCATTGCAATAAACAGGTCATAATAAACTCCTTTTTTAAATAAAGGCTTCCATATTATCCAGACAAAAGCCACATTTTCAAAGCTATTTTTTAGGAAAGAATGTAATGTTGTATAATTTTGAGTCGTGTACTACAGTTTGTTTGTCCAAGTTGAGCAGCACAGCCACTGCCTTTTGACATCCCATCCCAGACCCTGCAGGGTATCAAGTCTAGGACATTTCAACTCCATCCGCTCATCACAGAGGAGTGAAGCATGGACTTTGCACATGAATCCAGCACCAACGCCTCAAGAGCCTGTTTCACCTTCATATCAACAATAGCTGGATACTGCAAGAGCCTGTAGAGCAAGGCATTACTTTGCAAACAAGCTGTATGCAGGTAGGTTTGACATGTGAGGGTGACAACTCAGAACCTCAACAACACTCTTTGTGCATCATAAGGTAGAAACCATGATTTCTACACTTATTCAGCACAGCACATTTATTCATTATGTTCATTTGAACATAATGAAACACTAAACACAGATTTTTTGTTTAAATGCATTCTTGTAAAGCCACTAGCATGCATTGCTTTTCAGGCAGGGCTTAAACCACTGCACTGTGCAAAGCATTTTGAGGCACCCGATCGGGAGTACGCAGAGCGCCATAAGGTGCTTTTAGGTACAGGGAACAATTCAAAACTCCCACAGGTACAAAGAGATCACATCCTGTGCCTCAAGATTCCAGTAAACAAATGACATCTTGAAAAAAAATCGTCAGCATCCGTACTGACTGTGAGAGCCTCAGTACTGAGAAAGCAGTCACAGCTGGTGCATGCAGCAGGAGCTCACAGCTGGTGCATGCAGCAGGAGCTCACAGCTGGTGCATGCAGCAGGAGCTCACAGCTGGTGCATGCAGCAGGAGCTCATAGCTGGTGCATGCAGCAGGAGCTCACAGCTGGTGCATGCAGCAGGAGCTCACAGCTGGTGCATGCAGCAGGAGCTCACAGCTGGTGCATGCAGCAGGAGCTCACAGCTGGTGCATGCAGCAGGAGCTCACAGCTGGTGCATGCAGCAGGAGCTCACAGCTGGTGCATGCAGCAGGAGCTCACAGCTGGTGCATGCAGCAGGAGCTCACAGCTGGTGCATGCAGCAGGAGCTCACAGCTGGTGCATGCAGCAGGAGCTCACAGCACCGCTGCACAGCTAGGGGCCACACCACCACTTAATAAAAATTAATAAAATAGGTAACTGTAAATATTTTGAATTGATAGTGTCATAGAC